CCTTTTACGAGCGCTTCTCTGGGTTTCCCCCCTCCTCCCCGGAAACGTATGTGACGCCCTCTTGGAGGTGCGCACGCCACCGGAAACGGATGTGTCGCCATCTTGGATGCGCACGCCACCGGAAACGGATGTGCCGCCACAATGCCCTGCGCACACCCAACCGGAAGTGACGTCATCAGAGGTCACGTGACCCCACCGACCAATCAGAAGCCAGGAGCGGTCCTGTAGTACGGGCCTCAACTACTAATGGTTTACTGAAGTGTGGTAGGTTTTAAGACCTGCTTCACCCACGATGTACTGAAAAAAAACTAGCATTAGAATCATTTCTGTTCTTCCTTTGAATAAGATAATTTTCAAGTCAAGTTAAAAAACCCAGTTATTTTACATGTAATTTCAGGAAAGTGCAGACAAAAGTACGAACTGAATAAATTGATGAAAAAAACACCTCACGATACACCTGTTATAGGAAATCGATGGGGTGATGTGGTCGGTAAATCATTTTGAAGTAGAAACAAATACTAGCACCGGGGATGACTTTCTGATAGAAGACGGAACATTTTGAATGTATGGGTATAATATATCCATGCTTCCGGTGGCACCATATCTTCATACTATGTTTATACATTTCGTGGTAAAAAATATAAAACTGGTGGCACTGATGACAAATTCTAATGTATTATCAGTGAAAACAAATACATATCGTGCAAGGTAGTATCGTCTGTTAGAACTAGGAATCTGTAACGATACTGAGGCCAAACTTAATTCAGTGATAAAAATTGACTTCGTAGTATTAAATATCGTCTGTAAAACGAGATAGCTGTTCAATGTACCAATATATTATTGTAACTACATTTGAATTATTCAGACATTATTAGCCTGGTTTGTACTCTCTTAACGCTCATCGGCGAATGTCTGCATTGAAAAGTAAGTATGTCTTGTAAATTATAACAAAGAAACCAGTGAGAATACTCTAGGATCAGCAATAAATTAAACAAAAAACATCCTGTAATCACACCAAATTCCCAAAACAGAATACTGGGAGTAATACAGTCAATGCCTCCATCCAAAGATCGCCGTAATGTATTCTGAAAGTGCAACATGGAAGGCCATTATGATCATTCCAAGACGTTTTTGACATTTTGGTGTCATTTTGACGCGGGTGCCGTTTTAGCACGATCCTTTTTAGGTTGAAAGTTTAATGTTGTTTAACTCCGCACTCGCCAATAATCCACCTATCAGGGCCCTGTTCCACAAAGCGATCTTTGTGCTACGTTGATCGTAAGCCTATGATAAAGTATGGGAGTTACGACCAACTTAGCGCTAAGATCACTTTGAGGAACAGGTTCCTGGACCAAACAATCCAGTAGGAACAACGATCATCGACGTACGATAACTCAATCAACCGACTCAAGTCACCGAGTCGAATCGCATCTTGCGACCAGCATATGTTCCTTGACAGGATTCCCTACCTAGATGCTTTAAGGTATAAGGGTTATAGATATAATATATTATGATTATTTGTAACCAATCGGAGATGCTGTGCGGTGGAAATCTTACAGACCACACTGACTGGCAGACCTTTCCCTGGTAATGACAAAATAAATGAACCAAGATAAGATGATGAACTGGCGAGCGTGCGACCCTCAACCATAGAGATGGTCCAAGGGAAGGCACTCTACATCCCGGCAAGATTTTACGGCCGCTTCTTGACATACGACTCGAGTATAACTGCTAAAGTGATAGTCGTTCTTTTTGCAAAATAAATACCAAAGGCTAATCATGATTGATTTGTGCAATGTCCGCTTTTTCAATTGGAACTTTGATTGAACGAATTTCTATCAATACAACCCACAAGTTAGGCATCAAGGCCCACAGTACAATGCAGATTGCTGATTAACATTTTTCAGTCATCAGAAGTAACCGACCCATTTTCTTTCTGAAAGTAATCGTATATATATATATACTTAAAGGCATTTATGTATTTGTGAAATGTCGCCATATTTAAAATAAAAGTAATAGTTTCTACGCGTGGAGGCAAGAATCCATTTAGAATAGACCAATCACTGCGCCCGACTGGTGCCACATGATGGAGTATTCGTGACCTACTCGTGTCATTCCGATACAAGCACGTTACGGAAAGGATCGAGTGGCGACGAATGATTTTGGAGATGGCGAGATGATGTGAGATTGGCCAAATGGATCCGAGTCAGCCCATTTATTGTGACGTCATGATATTATGACGTCACGTTATTGTGTTGCCACATGATTTCACCGAGCCGTCAATGATAGCAGCATTACACAAATGATACATATCTGTCTAAAATGGTATGCAAACAGACCAAGGCTAAGCCATTCAAGCAGACATCTCCCGAGAAGGCTCTGGTGGGCAAGATCAACTGTCCTCACGAGCTGTACTACGCCAAGTCTCAGGTGACACCGCCCACACCCCGACTATCAGGGACGGAGATTCTTCAACAGTTACGAGACGACGGCTTGGTCCCCGACCGTCAGGCCAGCGGAGGAGTTGCCTTCTCTGTCCCCGTAGTGGAGGGGGTTGTTCCCCGTGGCAGAGCTCACCGACGTCTGGGGCGAATCTCAGTGCGATGCTTCTACACAGCTGAGAGGAGGAGACAGAAGGCTGATTTGTTCAGAGTAAACAGGTCAGGAAGGTCTTCAGTGCGAAGGGTCTCGAAGCGGTGTCATAAAAATTAAAAAGCGTTTTTTTACTAAATCTAAATGTACCTGTGTATTATATCCCAATAATTTCATTAGGATCTAATTCATGATTGCATGTTTTTGTATACAGGTTGGTAGACCAAGTCCAGAGGAAACAACTGGACAGAGAAATAAAGCACAAAGCTGTCAAGGACGAGAAGAAACGTCGCCAATTTATAAAGACAATGAAGGCAGAGCATCAGCTTCTTGCGAGGGAGGAGAAACTAAAGAGACTGGAGGAAAAGCAAGCGGCGGCGAAGAACCCAGCTAAGAAGTAGACAATGTGGGAGAAAAAGTGTGTGCATATTTGAGTGTGTGAATGCGTGTGTCCACAAGGGTGATCTGGTGCAAGTGTGCGTGCATGCGTGTATGTGCATATGTGTGTGTGCGTGCGTGCGTGCGTGTGCGTGCGTTTGTTACCCACAGAACAGTAGATGATAAAGGGGAGAAACACGATTGGTATCGGACACGGGTCTGTGATGCTTAAAAGAGAAGAGGATACGACATATTCCTCAGGCTTCGACATGGGGAATCAAAACAAACCAAACGTCAGAAGCCAAAACGCGTACCATGTCGACAATGTTCTGTCTGTACCAAATCTTTCGTTATGTATAAACAAAAGTAAAAATTAACAGTCAATATAACTAATGTATGTTTGTTGATTCATGTTCATATATGTTGTATAATCATCCTAACCAAGTGAAGGATATGATGGTATATATATCTGATTACTCTGATTACTGTGATAGTATGCGGACATTATTTTATATATATTGTGTATCATATGTCGTGTTTTTGCTGAAGAAATAAAATCTAAGAAACGATTAATAATTTTGGTTTATTGTTTGAGGTTTGCTTCTTTGTGAATGTGTTCCAGTTCCCACAGGAGGATACAGTTCCTAGTAGCGGTAATTAACGCTGTCATTCTTTCATTTTGTTTAAGGTCTCATGAGTTCCGTTACAACCCACAATTAACTGAAGAAAATTTGTCATAACATATCACGATATTTGCCTAAAATACGAAATACTTCACAGAGAGAGAGAGAGAGAGAGAGAGAGAGAGAGACACACACACACACACAAACACAGAGAGAGAGAGAGAGAGAGAGAGAGACAAACACACACACACACATGTATATATTAACAAGTGATTTCATCAGGTGTATACGTATTAAATATACAAAAAAATAAAAGTCCAGATATTCGTGCTTGTCAAAACTCCTTTATCCACACAATATTTTTCGCCGTTCTACATATATATCTTAAAATAATAAAGTCCATGTTAGTCAAACATCTTCTTTATATCAGAAACTGTCTGAAACTGATACAAAGTAGATGTTGACCTAGCGCGGACTTTATCATATATTACATGTACGCTGAGTGAACATGTTTGCCTCTGTGTGTGTGTGTGTGTGTGTGTGTGTGTGTGTGTGTGTGTGTGTGTGTGTGCGTGTGCGTGGTTTAGCGGATGTGATTGCGATTGATTACTGAAGATAAAAATGTCCAGGTGATCTATTTATATTTAAGCGTCTGTTCATCTAAACGCTGGTCCTCACTATTATATCTCTATAGCTGCCAGCGTGAGTCGATGCTTCTGTATAGCTGAAAGGAAGAGACTGAAGGCTGAACTATTCACACTTGACAGACTCCGATTGTTCAACCTATTGCTGCTCCGCACTATAATACCTATATATACACTGACAGCGCGTCGACCCACTAGGGGTGCGCTGACATACACACACTTTGCGTGCATATATGTAGGCCTTTAGCCTATAATGTACCACAAGCGTGGTGCCCATATAAAAACGACCTTAAACGCATCGAACCGCACTATAACTCGGATATTTTACTCAGGCCTCAAGGGTTCGAGTCGACGATGTTTTTTCTGTATTTCACTATCGTAAAGGATAGATACAGTAGAACACGGATATAACGAACCCGGATATAGCGAACAAACGGATACAACGAGCTGTTAAAAAATCCCCGATTTATCTCCTATATAATATCATATAAAATTTACGTATATAACGAACTCTCTACAGCGAACTAACGGATACAGCGAACTCATATCTGATCACCGATAGTGTATATCCTCACTACCGTGTCAAACACAAAACCTATAAAACCATGAATCACAACATAACAGAAACACCAACCCGACAGTCCGTCCAACCAACCAAACTGAGCGCTTTAGTCTAGATCCTTGTCGAGTATGTTACAATGTCATTATGTATTTGTGTCACCCCCATCATTTCACAGCGCAATTGCGTACTGACGTACAACCGCTTTCCTCCAAACGCGGAAGTAAAAGTCAAAACATTCAGGTGTACGCAATTCCGGGTCGTCTTCCTCCTATGACCAATGCTTTAATCTTATTCTCTAAACATCATTTGACTATGACGAAGTTGGAGCAAATACTTTCCATAATCAAGAACAGTGTCTCGATGGTGATTATTGTGTTTGTGAGAGATGAGATATGTTCATCTTTAATCAGTCTGGATGTAAGACAAAGTTCGATCGAATGATTGTATATCACATATGACCGTGTCTTATCATATCATCTTGTGACCAGCCATCAGATTTGTGGTTTGAACGACTTTTTCTTGGGCATCATTCCTACAGCCGTGGCGGACAGAGCGAGCATCATGGTGTTTAGGTGTATAGTTCTGTTACTACTGGCGTTTGTCTGTGCCCATGGCGGCGTGTTAGAGGACTACGTGAACAGGTACGACCCCCACTATACGTATGAGGTGCTGAAAGACCACACATACAGGGGACCTGACTACACCCTGTATGTTCTCAACATGACTTCACAGAAATGGAAAGATGGTAAGATAGTAATACTGATTCACATATTTCAATTACATGTATATGTATAATGCAAATTTTGATTGTTAATCGTAATCGAAGTTGTCTTTCCCCTAACGTTACCCTGTAACACCGAAAGGAATGAATGATTATATAATTATGCTGTGGCCAAAAAGGTTCTATGTGTCCTAAAACATGTATTCGTTTGTTTGTAGTCAGTAATATTGCAGTTATATGACGGCGAACGTAAATAATCGAGTCTGGACCAGACAAACCAGTGATTGATATTACGAGCAATGATGACACGTAATCAATCAAGCCACCGAGCTTGACCACCCGATCCAATAAGTCGATTCTCAAACCAACACAGGTTGCTCGGGACCGCCTTATCCAGGAATCCCTACGGGGATCTACAGCATTTAAACCAGGGATTGATAGCATGAGCACCACCACGCAAGGCCAGGCTATATGCAATCAAGTGAAAACATGCATGAAATCCCACCGTTAACTAGCGTTTCACCTTCTTCGTAAGTTTCACGGTGTGATTATGTCTGTTCAAAGTAAGTTGAATTTGTTAAATACATGACAAGTATTCTCTCGACTCCTGTCAATGTTACAGAGACCGTGGTTACCAACCCCATCTGGTGGCACTACCTGACTATAACCGTTCCTGACAAGCTGGTATTCAAAGACTCGGCGTTCATTTTTATCGATGGCGGCTCCAACCATGCCGGGTACGTATGCGCAGGGACAACGTTTCTACAGACCCGAGTTATTGCAGTAGGTGGGGAAAGGGTGGCCCAGTGGATGATTAATGGGTACAAATCGATGTAGAGTTAATTTCGTAGTTGCCATGATCAGTTAGTCGTAGGATCGAATCCAGGATTTGCCACGATTATGGTCCGTGGTCTGTCTGTATCAAGGGGACAAACGTCTACGGACTGCGCCACTTTGTGATCCCCTCCAGTATCGGAGCGTGCCAACTCCGCCAACACTGGTGCATACAGTATTACGAATCGCCACGAAAGGTTTAGTTTTTTTTTCTAAACATAAACAAAAAAGTGTTCTAGCGATCAGAATGTTATTGTTGTTAAGGTGTATATCTCATGCTAAAATCAACAACACAAAACATACAGAAAACTATAGGATGCTACAATAACCGTGAGTTCTTACCGTGCTATTGGTAGTGATCTCATATGATTATAGAAACGTCTTTTGTCGCATTTATTCAAACAATGGCTCTTCATATTTAAAGGTGTTGTTAGCCTATGCATCTGTACACAGTCCAGATATTTAGTACATGTACATTTATAATACTTATAATAAAGGACAATTACACCTCGGTCCGCCCAGTGTGAACAACAATATAACAATGTTACATTATTACACTTCAGTCCGCCCGGTGTGAAGGGCAATTTTACAATGTTACATTATTACACTTCAGTCCTCCCCGTGTGAACAACTATATTGCAATGTTACATTATTATACTCCAGCCCGCTCAGTAAGAAGGGCAATATTAAAATGTTACATTATTACACTTCAGTCCTCCCAGTGTGGACAACTATATTGCAATGTTACATTATTATACTCCAGCCCGCTAAGTAAGAAGGGCAATATTAAAATGTTACATTATTACACTTCAGTCCTCGACGTGTGAACAGCTAAATCCAATTCATACATTATTACACTCCAGCCCGCCCGGTGTGAAGGGCAATGTTACAATGTTACATTATTACACTCCAGCCCGCCAACTGTGGATGACAGTATTACAATGTTACATTATTACACTCCAGCCCGCCCGGTGTGAAGGGCAATGTTACAATGTTACATTATTACACTCCAGCCCGCCCGGTGTGAAGGGCAATATTACAATGTCACATAATTTAACTTCAGCCCTCCCAGTGTGAAGGACAACTTTGTTTCTCTGACCACCATGATGGCTGTCAGTACAGGCTGTATTGGGGCAGATCTGAAAATGATTCCAAATCAACCTACAACCTTTTTGGTGAGTACGTACTAAACAAATCACCGTCATTGCCGAAAAACAAAAATGCTCACATCCAAACAGTATAAATCACAACAACGATCAGTCCGCCACGGAATCGGCATCTGATCCGATATTGATCTTATCACCAGGCTGACCCCACCCACAAAGCCCGATCAGAGGACGCGGTGATAGCGTGGACATGGAAGACCTTTGTGCAGGTCAACTCCTCCGACCCGGAACTCCTACTCCGCTTCCCTATGACCAAGGTATGCATGTACTTTATACCTCATGTTCAAAGGCCATTGATCACTACTAGTTTGCGGCGCCGTAAAAACTGTGGAGATTTTCGTCCTTTAGAAATTCCAGGATTCGCTAGTCAATGGGGTCTAATCCCATTGATTCGTCCCGATTATGTACGTTGGTGTTAGCTCCCTACTATTTGTCGTGTCTCTCGACAAAGCTTATGGTCTACTACCTACGTTAAGTAATTTTGTTCCCTCACATTAAGCTCTAACGCCGTTATGTAACTGAAATACTGTTCAAAGTGGCGTGAATCCCCTCCCAAATCATTCACTGTGGTTAGAGAGTCTGCTCGTCACGCGGAAGACCAGGATTCGATTCGCCAAAAGGGTACAATGTGTGAAGCCAATTTCTGGTGCCCCCCGCCTCGATATTGCTAGAATATTGCTTAAAGCGGCATAAGAACATACTGATCCACTGTGAAAGGACCTTCGAACTCCGGTTTAATTAAGTTTTAACAATTGACTCATATTGATAATGTAGTTAAACTTCAGTTTAACTTGTTAAAAGCTAACGTTTTCCCTTTCCAGGCCACTGTGAGAGGGATGGACACCATTGCCAACTTTTCTAAAAGTTTACAGGAGATTAACATTGACAAGTTTTATGTTGCCGGAGCTTCCAAGGTGAAATATGGAATGATATATATAAATGTTGATATGTTTACAGTGTTAGCGGTCTCAAAGGAGACGTAGTTTTCGCATAATTGTTCTGTGAGCTCCTGCTAATTCCACACCAATATTTAGTCTCTTAACAAATACTATATCATAAACTGCCAGGCAAGATGGGATATTAATAGGAAGGTACGAGTCGATTCATCTGGAGCTCTCAGCATGCATTGGTCGCGAGAAGATAGGAAAACGGTGATACCTTCAAGCATCCCATGTTGGAATCGAACGCAGTCCATCTATTTTATTTTGTTTGTTTTGTTTATTTGTTGTTTAACGCCACACTCAGGAATATTACAGCTATATGACAGAGGTCTGTAAATAAATCGAATCTGGTCCACACAGACCAGTGATTGACGTTTTGAGCATCGATCAGCGCAATTGGATACGATGACATGCATCAACCAAGTCAGCGAGTCTGACCACCCGATCCCGTTAACTAAAAACACATCGTAAACATAACATGAGTCACATAACTTATGCAAGCCGCCGCTTTTGCCGCATGATGCTGTTTCTTACCTCAGACAATTTAAGCCATTCATTACTGTTGTCTGCACGCCAGGATGTTTACATCACGTGACACTCATGTGGTCAGATATAGTCTCGGCTAGCAATGTGTCACCCCAGAGGCCTAATTTCACCGCATATAACCGATCGTGTTCGGACACTTACTTACGTAGCGAACTTACGTTACTTGAACAGTTATCGACTGTATTCGGTCATTTCCGTAATCACAAGAGATCATAGACTTTCAACGCAGGATTCAGCGAAGATAAAATGCAGAAAATGATCCATTAATAGTGTTGTTTAATCGCGTCTATTCCTTACAGACTCCAAAGAGAGTTATACTGGAAAATATGTATTTCAGTTATAAACTCAGCACCTCAGCATCATTTCATATACAGATAAATATTGTTTAACCGCCTCTATATCTTACAAACCTAAAAAACAGCGTCATTCTGAAACAGACTTATACTGCATATATTATGACCATGTCAGTTCTATGTATTCTGGCTGTAGCGTGGGTGGACGACGTGGACTACAGCAGCCGTGGACCCCCGCGTCAAGGGAATCAGTCCAATCGTCATGGATCTTCTCCATATGGTTAAAGTAAGATTTATGGGACTGTCTTCGCATAGAATTCTATGTGACAGTCGAGGCATTGTCACACAACACAGACAGAGGATGTTTCTCACACAATGGTGTCGGGAAACAATGAAAAAAAGTTCAGAATTGTAATAAGATTCAATATTATACACAGTTTATTCTGGATATATTTGATCCTTAAGTATGCACTGCTCCTTCTTAGTGTGCCATTGATAACAAAAGTAGTAACATGTTGCATATTTATCTGTCATCACACGCCAATGAGTGAGTGACTGGGTGAGTTTGACTTCACACGCTCTGAATAGCGTTTCAGAAATATCCCGGCGTGTCACCTACTGTGGGAGGAAATCCCGAAGGGATGTTGGTGACACCAAGAACACATGGGTATTGGCAAACCTAGAAACATAATCAGGTCGATCCTGGGATTCGATCATAGGTTTCTCGCACACCTAAGGGACACAACTCTGCACAGCGATTTGCGGCGCCCTAGACGACTCCCGCTTATATATATGTCTCCACATCATGATCCAGATGTTCACATGTTCACTTTGCTTGTTTCAGAATCTTCACCATCACTTCCGAGCCTATGGAGGATGGACGTTTGCGTTCAAAGACTACTATGAACTGAACTTCACAGAGTCGTTAGATCATCCCAACACCCAAAAGATGGCCGACATTATTGACCCTATTTGTGAATACATATTCATCTCGTGTTAAAAATTAGAATGTCCATATAGGCTTCAAGCAAATATACTGTACAAGCCATGGTGTACATTTATTATCGACAACTTTCTCTCTTACACTACATTTGGGACGTTTGGGTCTCTATCAGGACGTATTTATGAAAGGGGTGTCTTCCATATCACGTCTGCAGCGAATAGACTGTCTCCGTGGTCTAGTGGATAGAGCGACTAGGAGAGCGGAAGGTCGATGGTTCGATCAGGCCGCGTCATACCAAAACTTTAGAAGATCGCACGCGTTGTTAACCTGCCTGGCGCTAAGCATTAAGGGGCTAAAAGGAATTGTCTGCTCGGAGTCTGTAAACAGTGTCTGAGTGGGGTATTCATGTTAAACTGTGGCATGGTATCTCAATTTCTAGCACGATCTCATCTTCCCGAAGCACGAGTGCACCTTTATAGTCAGTTAACTCTCTTGACTCGGGAAGATGGCACTATCTAAACCCGGCACAAGTCCGGACTTATATAAGCAGCTACACACACACCCGCACCCGCGACGCTATACAAGTGCAATAATTTGTAACGCCACGTCAAACTCCATTTCTCCTCGCTTATGCATTCATTACTGTGGTGCCAAACAAAGATCTAATAATGGTTCCAACAGTCGCTGTATAAATTTGTAGTTTTGGGTAAAAGTATTCCAATGTAGCTATTAAAACACTCAGATCTGTAGCAAGTCCGTTGTTATAGACTAGCCATGAGAACAAATAATGAAACTCTTTCAAACAACAATGTTCTTCCAAGATTGTCGGATTAATTATTGCTTTCCAACGTCGTAAAGGTTGTGAAGTTCCGGGGTAGAATAGGTCTTCAGCAACCCATGCTTGGCGTGGGGAAAGGGCCTATGGAAATATGCGAGTGGTGACGAATTCAGACTGGTAGCAGACGACGCAAACGAACCGAGTTACTTCCCTTTACCCTATACATTCGCATAAACAACCAATCACTTCTGAAACTCAACTAAACTTATATCAAATACATTTTAAGCAAATTACCTAAGATGTGTTCCAATTGATTTCTCAGAGGGCTTCATGAAAGTTGTACCCAGCCTGTGAGCAGGCTAAATAGAAAATAATTTGCCCGCTCCTTTATCAATCAGGAGCTAGTATTTTAATGTTACACAGCATAAGCACAATATCTCAGCATTGATGTGTCCTTGTCTTAAAGTTGTTGATGAAACAGGATATATTTTGCCTTCTTTGTCTTTATTGATTACACATAAGCATAACCCGTGAAGATCTGGGGTAGAATAGGTGTTCAGCTTCCCATGCTTGCCGTAAAAGGCAACTATGCTTGTCGAAGAGGCGACTAACGGGATCGGGTTTTTAGGTTCACTAACTTGGCTGATGCATGTCATCGTATCCCACTTGCGTAGATCGATGCTCATGATGTCAATCACTTGATTGTCTGGTCCAGACTTGATTATTTACAGACCGCCGTCATATAGCTGGAATATTACTGAGTGCGGCGTTAAACAACAAACAAACAAATCCAACGTCGTAAACTTAATTTCAAACCACCAGTTTTATAGATTAACCATTAATGCAACATTCAGGATACTAAGGACTGTCTTTAGTGTTCATATCCTGAAACGATTGCCTATATTCTAGCGTACAACGACAAGCTGACAATGCCAAAGCTGATCATCAGTACAGGCGGGGACGAGTTCTTCCTCCCCGACGACTCCCACTACTACTACAACGACCTCAATGGACCAAAATACCTCAGGTGAGCCATATTACTTGCTTGAAGTTTTAACATGCAGTTTAAATTTTGTGTCCGTGGATATGTAAACATTATGCTGATTACTAAAAAGGACATATGTGGTAAGCGTACCATAGGTTAATGTTCGTGGATTTTCCGAACAAGCATTGGAACCTATGGTTAGATAGACGTGTGCCTGCTTTATGAGAATGCCTTCTCTGGGGCCGGTGGGGTAGCCTAGTGAGGTGAGGTGAGGTGAAATTGGGTTTAACGTCGCGTCTAAGATTATTGCACTTATATAGCGACGTGCATGCACGTGTATGTGTGTGTGTGGCTGCTTGTACTAGTCCGGACTGATGCCGATTTATAGTGCTAGCTCACTGAGATACCATGCCGCAGTTTAACATGAATACTCCACTCAGACACAGTATACTGACTCCGAGCCGACCAGTCCTTGTTTTAGCCCCTTAATCCGAGCGCCAGACAGGGTAATAACAAGTACAATCTTTTAACGTCTTTTTGTATGACGCGGCCTGGGATCGAACCCTGGACCTTCCGCTCTCCGGGCGGACGCTCTACCACTAGACCACGGAGGCGGTCGGGTAGCCTAGTGGTTAATGCGTTCGGTCGTCACGCCGAAGCCCCGGGTTGATTCACCACGTGGGTACAATGTGTGAAGCCCATTTCTGGCGTCCCCCGTCGTGATATTGCTGGAATATTGTTAAAAGGGGCGTAAAACCAAACCCACTCACTCCTTCTCTGGCGAGTGGAAGACGATGTGCGTCACGATCATTTCTAACTTTTGTAAGTCATTCCTTATCTTTGAACGTAAGTTGTGAAGATCCTTTTGAAAATCTAGCACGAGAACAGTTCAAGTATTCGCTTAACGTAAACACTCTCATGCTAATAAACTAGTTATGATGTTTGTCTTTCAGAATATTACCGAACGCTGAACATAGCTGTGCCGGACATGAGATAAGCTTGTTGTTCACCATGCGAGCTTTCTTCCTATCAATTATGTCGGTAAGGTTCTATGCCGCTTGGGGATTCCGGGATTCCGGGATTCAAGGTTAACCTATGCTGGTCGTTAGAGGCGACCATATGGATCGGGAGATCAGGCTCGGTGTCTTGCTTGTGTGTCCATGTACCCTGGCGGCGTGGATCGTTGCTCGTCCATCTTCGATATCGATCACTGGATTGTCTGGCCCAGGCTCGATTATTTGCAGGCAGCCATCATAAAGCTGGAATATTGCGGCGTTAAATAACAAACAAACAAACTGATGTATCATTGTCCACATGGCTACTAACGAAGTTGTTGCAGTTGGTTTATTGAATCATATTACATTGGCTAGGGTTTATTTACCCCTTTTCTATCATTTCTATCATAGTCGACGTGTTGGCTAATAAAGGACCTTTCTCAATATTTACTCATATGTCTTTATACTTTTCCTTTTTAGGATCCGGGTTAAAATTCATGTTTGAAACCTGTGTTTGTCGTACGAGGCGATCGTGGAGATCAGGGTTAGCATAGGTCCCCAACAACCTATGCTCCGACTTAGTGACTTGGTCGTGTGTCATCGTACCCCGACGCCGTGGGTCGTTGTTCATAGTGTCAATCACTGTCACGGAACTTGATGCGTCAAATAACAATAAACAAACCCTGAAACATTAAATATTATAGAGGAAAGAGGAGCCGATGGTATTTTCGCAGTAGATGGTCCGAGTTTCATCTCACAGCTTTAATGTCCCCGTTGAAAGATCTTTCTCTTGACCCAGGATATCCGTTGAAAATTAATTTGGCCAACATTTGTTACTAATTGTTTGATAGGCATTACTTAGAAGTTCACGGATGAGAGAGACAATTTATGGATAACAACTTCTTTATTTACTGGTTTACGTTTCGTTATAGATCATTTGGTACTAGTAGTAATTTTAAATTGTTCACAAGTGTAGGTTTGTATTTATTTGTTACTTAGTGTTTAGGTTTCCTTTGGTATAACAAAGAGATATATCATTATGATTATACCTCTGACGTGTTTATCATGGTACCGGGTGTACTTATGCAGGATTTGTTTTTACTGTTGATAACCACAGGTGTCTTTCTTGCAGGCGTCTCCACTACCGAAGTTTTCCTGGGTTAGAGAATTGGTAAGTAGAACTTCTTTGCAGTACCGGGCATATAACTAAATGAACGGATTGCCTTTTACAATGCTATGCGGTCATTATGTTTACAATACCAAGGGAGTCAATATCCACAATGCAACTCATTTAAATGTTTCTGGACAACACATTTTTTATACATTGCAGACCGCCAACGGAGGTAAAATAACTGTGACCACAGAGACCGAGCCACTGACTGTGACGTCATACTGGGCCAAGACTATAGGCGGAGAAAGGTAGAGAGTCCATGTTACTATTGTAAATTCACTCACCTTCACTTTGCGTCACATTTAAAAGTAATCTATGACCGAAGTAAAAGCAACTTAACCGTTCTTGAGAAACGAGTGGTTAGGCAATGGTGAGAAGCATAGGGGTACCATAAAGGTGAACATTCAAATGAGTGAATGTTGTTTTACTCCCCAGCCAGCAGTATCCGAGCTATATTACTGACTGGCCTGCATATAGTAGAGTCAGTGGTAGGTTATATGTGTTAAATCATATTATTTACAAGATAGTCTCTATAAACATCAGACGCCTAACAGAAACACGATGGTTGAACTATGACCCATTAACATGGATTGGTCATGTATTTATCTCCAGGCGTGACTTCCGTCTGCTGGTGGGCACTCCCGGCAACCCCGACAAACCCTTCCCCCACCCCGTCATCTGGCACAGTCAGGCAACAGAATATGTTGTAAGTGTTGTTCATTTAATGAGCTGATATACGACATATACGTCATCACTATGCTGAAGAAATGAGGAAGATCATAATGAAAGTCTCATTTAAGGCCAATGAAACATTTAATTTTTTTTCGCAAATGACTGGATGGAGAGGGTTTTGTTATGTATATATTTTATCTTTAGGACGTAACATATCTATATAAGTGTTATTGACTCTAGTGTACCAGTAACATCTTTTGGCCGCGGCTCCTGCGGTGCAGCTTATTCTGTGCCTACATATTGAACTGAATCCTGCCAAGTGAGACACACGCTTAGAGAGGGGTGGCGTGTGCAAAGTTCAGAAACATAATTTGAGTTGACCGTCATTTTCACAGTGCCTAAACGTATTAGAGGCGAGAGGGTGATAAAAAGTAATTTGTTATAACAAGCCTAAATCAAATTTTGTGAATATCATTATTGCGACCTTAGTGAAAATATAAAAGGATCAGTCTCGATCATCTGCCGAAAGAGATGCCATTGGGCGTACATGGCAAAGTAGTGGTGAACATTATCAGACTGGACCAGTGAAAATCAGTGATGACTCCAGGGTAAGCATGTTCTGCACCCCCGGCAGCAGCCGTCACCCAGACTGTTTGCATACACTTACTTCTTCCAGGGTAACAACACGTATGTGGCGGAGTTTGAAAACCCTGACGAGGGATGGAGAGCCTTCTTTATACAGGTACGTTTATTCAGGGAGTGTGCAAGACCTATGTGGACTCAATTCAATTGTTACAATTCTGGTTACAGCGAGTCAGTGCGCACGTGAGAGGCGTTTCACTTGTACTACTGCAGGATGAGGAAGTTTGATCATTGTCACCACATCCTGCATCAACAACCTTGGTCCAACCAGCTACCCATGCCATCATTCATATATCACCTACCAGTTCCTTTTGTGCTGCCTTCTGTTCGTCTTCCAAATAGAAATATTCGATTCTGAATCTTCATGCAACGGATGAATTTGACTTACAGCATATTTCATCATGGTAATGACAACTGTTTGACAGAAAGCTATTTTAGACACTGGTGTATATAGTGTGACATTTTACATCGTTTACAATTAACTTAATCTTTGCTAGACGATGCATGGAAAATAAACGTGTTGTAAATTAACCATAACATATCACACGATATCCCGGGCATTGCTGACCTTGTCTTAAACATATTGATGAAACGGGATAATTTCCTTGAGTAATATGTCCTATGGAAATATGCGAGTGGTGACGAATTCAAACTGGTAGCAGACGACGCAAACGAACCGAGTTACTTCCCTTTACCCTATACATTCGCATAAACAACCCATCACTTCTGAAACTCAACTAAACTTATATCAAATACATTTTAAGCAAATTACCGGAGATGTGTTCCATTTGATTTCTCAGCGGGCTACATGAAAGTTGTACCCAGCCTGTGAGCAGGCTAAATAGAAAATAATTGCCCACTCCTTTATCAACCAGGAGCTAGTATTTTAATGTTACACAACATAAGCACAATATCTCAGCATTGATGTGTCCTTGTCTTAAAGTTATTGATGAAACAGGAAATATTTTGCCTTCTTTGTCTTTATTGATTACACATAAGCATAACCCGTGAAGATCTGGGGTAGAATAGGTGTTCAGCAACCCATGCTTGCTGTAAAAGGCAACTATACTTGTCTTAAGAGGCGATTAACAGGATTGGGTGGTCAGGCTCACTGACTTGGTTGATGCATGTCATCGTATCTCAATTGCATAGATCGATGATCATAATGTCAATCACTGGATTGTCTGGTTCAGACTCGATTACTTACAGACCACCGTCATATAACTGGAATATTGCTGAATGCAGTGTTAAACAACAAACAAACAAAATAAATAAACATAAGCAAGAACAGTTTGACAGAATAAAGATAGCAAGTGCAATGCATTGATGTTGTAGCTGACGTTCCGTGGTGTCAAGGACTCGGTGCTGGAGTTCACGACGGAGAGCCAGATCATCCCTGATGTCTTCCCCTTCCCTGACTGCAGTGGAGAAAGTTGCACAGGGACGCTTGTCTGACCAGTGATGTGTTAATATTTGTTCAGTTTGTTGTTTAACGCCACAGTCAGCATTATTTCAGCTATTTCAAGGCGACCTGTAAACATTGAAGAGTACAAACCAGTGACTGAGAGCATGTGCAAAGATCCATGACATTGGGGTATGGTGACCGGCATCAATCAACGAACCTGACCACCAGTTACATTTAGTCAGCTTTTACAAGCACGGCTTTACAGGGACTTATTCTAACTCCAAATCCCCAGGTGGTGATGTATCCATGCCATTATTGTATTGTTGACAAGACTAGGAGTTTATTTCCTGGGGTGTTCCAACCACATGACTACCACACTCTTAAATTAGTGATCCTATTCTTAAAAAAAATGTAATTATTTTGTTAAAATAAAAGTGTTGGGAAATGGTTATAAAGTTATTTTTGTATGTATTTTGAACTCATCTAGTGGTTTCATGAAATGACATAATTAGCTTTTGAATGTGTTCAGGTTTAACATGTACTCTTAAAAAAAAGGAAACGCATAATCTGATTTTTTTGTGCAGGATATATATCATATACTGCACACTTGATGGACATGTGACCGCCTCCGTGGTCTAGTCATAGAGCGTCCACCCAGAGAGAGAGGAAGGTCTGGGGTTCGTGTCTGTGTCATACCAAAAGATGTTAAAAGATGGTACTTCTTGTTACCAGGCCTGGGGCATGGCATTTAGGGGGCTAAAACAAGGACTGGTCGGCTCAGAGTCAGTATACTGTGTCTGAGTGGGGTATTCTAGTTAAACAAAGGGATGGTAAGTCCGTGGGCTGGCACTGGTTTATTCTCCCTACATAATTTTATTGTATGACAAACAACCCCCACTCGTCGTTTATTTTTTAAATATGACATAGCAAATTAATATATTGTCCACTGGAGTAAAACAACATGGCGCCAACACATAAAATGTAAATCTTCACTCTAGCCTTGATCTCACAAAGACAAAAGGGATGAGCAATATGAAATGGTTTATTTCCTGTACAAGTGATCATGAAATGATAGGCTCATTATTTTGTTACAGAAAATAAAATAGCTGTAGATCAGGAAACACAAATGACAGTATTTTACCATCTTTCCTGGAATAAATAATGCACTCATTTATATTTATCAATAAAAAGAATATAACATAAAGAAAACAACAAGGACAAAAGGTATTTACTTCCAGTGATCCTGCTAACGTTTTAGGGTGACATTCATATTTGTATTTCTCAGTGCCTGTTTGACATTTGGTCCATCATTCCCAGTGCATAGTGATGCTGAAACTGGAGCATATAGCTCCACATCGTAACACACAGTGTGAGAGAAGTAGAAATTTACTACCCATGTACCCACCCCCTGGTACCCAACCCTACCTGGGTACCGCTGTAGGTCTCAAGAGATAGGTCCAAATGTCCGATTGGGCATAGTTTGACCATAGCCCTGGCAAAATGTATTTAGACACTTGTATGAAACGATCTGGTCATGCATACATGGAAGTTGACTGATATATGAAGTCAGAAGGAATAAGTGTATAGTCAGAAACAAATGCCAACATTAGTCACTTATGGTGGTCGCGTCCAAGATTATTGCACTTATATAGCAACGTGCATGTACGTGTGTGTGTTTGTGTGGCTGCTTGTACTAGTCCGGACTGATGCCGATTTATAGTGCTAGCTCACTGAGATACCATGCCGCAGTTTAACATGAATACCCCACTCAGACACAGTATACTGACTCCGAGCCGACCAGTCCTTGTTTTAGCCCCTTAGGGTAACAACATCTTTTAACGTCTTTTGGTCTGACGCGGCCGGGGATCGAACCCCGGACCTTCCACTCTCCGGGCGGACGCTCTTCCACTAGACCACGGAGGCGGTCTCACTTATGGTGTAACCAAAGAGTTCTAGATAATGTTTGTCATTAAACAATATGTCACATGATTAAACACGGGTCCGAGTAGTCCTGTTGGTAACCGGGTCCTACCCAACCTGAGTACCCGAGTAACCCATCCCAGCTAGAAACATCAAAACTCATTATGGCGTGTATAATGCACACCCCCTTCTACACAGCTGTGTGTTTTTGGAAAAAAGTGTGCCCTATACTCAAGAAAATAAGGTATATATCCTCTTTGACAAATATAATTTACACATGTCTTACTTCCATTCATGAGCACCATATAAAAAATCAACCAACTCAAACATATCAAAGGGTGATCATATTTGACAACACTTTGAGACATACATCCACAATTGACATGACAGTCTGAAATATTCCACCATTTGTTCTACCAAGAATGTGAATGTAGAAAAGCAAGTCATTCTCCACAAATGCACATCAGTGATGAAAATGATACGTTCTAATGCATGACGGAACTGTTGATAAGTGAATGCAATGCTTTAACACTGTAACTGAAGCATATTTTGATGAGGAGAAACAAGTACGCCTCTACAAAGTCAAAACAAATTCTAAGTGTCCAGGCTACTTTCTGCATTACCAGTGAGGATTAACCAAGCATTCACATGCATTCTCTCAGATGTTGTGAATGTTAATTGTGCCATGCTACAGTAAGAAATATTCCCACGCAGTATCAGTGTCTGAGGAGAGCACAGTTCTTATCTGATATGACTACATTTGAAGGTGATGTGGTAGCCTATTTATTATTGTGGTGATGGGGTAGCCTAGTAGCTAGAGCATTTGCTTGTTCACCGAGGCCCAGGTTTGATTTCCTCCATGGGTACAATGAGTGAAGCCCATGTGTCCCCCCCCCCCCAAGATATTGCTGGAATATTGATTAAACAGCTTAAACCCACACCCACCAACTCACTATTATTCCAGCTATATTCTTTGCAAGATTTAAACCTTAAATGGCTTTAGCCTATACTGAAATGAAACCAAAATTGGTTTTGAAGTATCCAACAAAATCTAGAATAGACAGTTTTGGTATATGATGATCCTAAAGTTTACTTGCTGTCACACCTCCCAACTACAGACCTACTTGTGAAAATGATCTGTTTCAGTATCCCTGTGATATCAGTGTTCGAATACTGCCCTTGATGGGATCATAACGTTTAGCATTTCCTGCTGAGAGTTTCCCTGACTCGTAGATAGCCCATCCGCCCCCCGACCTTGACACTGAGCACATGATGACAGCCTGGCTGTGATTGGCATGTGTGAAGGTTGTCTTACACAAATCTGTATTCGGTTTGTCAGCTTCATAGAACTTCAGGCTGGGGTTTGGGTATTTGGATATGTTAGGTGCAGTCCATGCACTTAATGTGAAAAATAAGTGGGAAACATTACTTGGTATATTTTTGAGACTGACATTGATGATATGATGACCTTGCCTCTTTGAGTGATTTATTATATCTCCAGAATGCTTGACAGCATTATTGCCACAGCTATGGTTACGCCAATCTGCAAGCGATACAAAGTCTGTTCCTTTGTAGAGAAGACAGGAAGCATCAAGATAATCCTGCCCAGAAAGTGGAAATCCCCAGTAGAGATCAAAGACGACATGATCAAACCCTTCTGGAATGGCCAACATCAGAACAACCAGGTAGACTGTAGAGTTAGGCTGAATGTTGTAGTCACTCAACTTCATCTGTTTCTGACCATCTCCATACACCTATAACAGACAAAGAGCTCCAGACATGGTCCATAGCAGTCACATTGTTCAGTTCGTAAAAGATAATTTAAAAAATGAAAAGTATCACAATATAATGCTACATAATGTGACCCCGCCTTGCCTAGTAGTAACTCGTAAAATACCAACAAATTTTCACTCTGCTTTTCAGAAGATGTTCAAGACATTTATGATATACCGTGTTCAGTCTACTTTTCTGGAACTGTGTAAGCATAGTTTCTGCAGTAACAGCCACTATGTCTAAGCTACACAGTAGGAGAGTATTGTCATCTCCAAGTATGTACATTTGTAGTAGGGCTGGGACGAGTCCAAACTTACTACCTGGGTACCCACTCCTCTATTACCCGACCCTACCCGGGTACCCGCTGTACGTCTCAAGAGATAGGTACAAAATATCCCATTGGGAAACATTTGACTGTACTCCTGTCAAAATGTATTTAGATACATGCACAAACCGATCTGGTCAAGCATATACTGAAGATGACTGATGCCATCACATAAAAACAGAAGGAATGTGTGGATATTCAGAAAAGAAATGTGAACATTAATTTATAGTGTAACCATAGAGTTCTAGATAATTTTTGGCATTAAACAATATAAGCATGTGACTAACCACATGTCCTACTCAGTACCCACCTGACCCCAGTACCCGAGTTATCCGTCACAGCCCTAATTTGTAGTTGTCATTGTATATTTAGTGTAACCCTCACTTGTTTAGCTACAGATGAAGGTTGTCCTTGCTTCATACAATATCATAGCATACTTTTATCGGACCACCTCCGTGGTCTAATGGTAGAGCGTCCGCCCGGAAGGCGGAAGGTCCGGGGTTCAATCCCCAGCCACGTCATACCAAAAGACGTTAAAAGATGGTACTTGTTGTTACCCTGTCTGGCGCTCGGCATTAAGGGCCTAAAACAAGGACTGGTCGGCTCGGAGTCAGTATACTGTGTCTGAGTGGGGTATTCATGTTAAACTGTGGCATGGTATCTCAGTGTGCTAGCACTATAAATCGGCATCAGTCCGGACTAGTACAAGCAGCCACACACACACACACATGTACGTGCATGCACGTCGCTATATAAGTGCAATAATCTTGGACGCGACGATAAACCCCATTTCACCTCACCTCACCTCATACCTTTATCTCTTTATCTTTGTACAGCAGCTTCTGTTTCTGAACCTCATGCTTTAACTTGTTCTGTATGGACTGCTTCAGCTCCAGTATTGTCATGTAGGGCCTGTAGTTCACTGTCATTGAGTCCCCATTCAGTACAGCCACACGCACCACACCCTCACTGGCTCCTTCGGGGATAACCAAGGGAGTGTACTCTGTAGTGTACTCACGGAACATCTCATCCAAGGTGCGCTGAACTACAGCAATATTTCTGCATTCAGGTGCCACAGGCTTTCCACATTCTGGATAAGGACAACATTTCTTCTCTTTCACATGCCGAATCACACACTAGAAATTAAACACAGAAATATACTTCAGCATTTCTGCTAATTTTCTTTAAAGTAAAATACTTTCAACATTATTAAATTATCTCTTAACTCTCTATAGGCTACATACAATAAACGTTTATAAGTGTATGAACAACACAATTTGAGGTTCTTTCACGAGAACGTGTTCTTGAAATGTCGTAACCAATATCATACCACTTACATATTCTTGGGTGAACCCCTGGGAATTCCACTGCACAAATACATACAAAAGCATTAGTTCTGATCAAGCTCTAATGTTCATACAGTTTGGCCCTCACTCTATGAAGGTTGATACTCCAATGAGGGGGCACGGGTGGCCCAGTCGTCTAAGGCGCCGCGATTCGCTGTGCAGAGTTGCGTGCCTTGGGCACGCAGGAAACTTATGATTAGCTCCAGATTTTTTCCTTTCAATTCTTGCAATACAATAGTTTTTTTCATTTGTATATTTCAAAACCTATATCTTACCCTCATGCAGTGAAATTTTGGGTGTTGGCAACTCTCAGTCAGGTCAAACTGTGGAAATTCATTGGACAGCTTGTTTTCTTTACATTCCAGACACTTCATTGTGCATCCTGAAAAAGGGTAATTTCTCTGAATTATAACCATCACCACTTATTAAGATATACATCATATTGTGTCCACTTTTTGTGATTAAACAAAATGGATGTTGCAGTCGAAAGCTCAAATAAGAATATGATGATGGAACCCTTATGTGATTATTCATTTAAGAATTGACCTTCACTTTGTGTGAGTTCATTTGAGTATGAACCTTCATAGAGTGAGAACCAAACTGTATGAACGTTGGAGCTGGCGACTGCATGCTACGCGGATTCATACAGTTTGCACATCGGTTTTTCGATTCATACCTCAATGAACTGAAAAAAATACACAGTCAATCCTTAAATGAACGTCAATTTCGCGGTCATGTGACCGACCTCTTGCCCAATGGAAAATCTGTATATTGTGTAAACGTCAAATCAAAAAAGTATATGTAGTTTCGAATCACATAAAACAATTTTTATATTTTTACATTTTATCAAGTTCATCTATAAATTGACAAGTTACATTGGTTTAGAATTAAGTTCTACGTCTTTTACAAATCCATTATTTCTTTCCTGACCTAAACAATTGTAAGTCTTTAAGTAAGAAACACACCTTTTCTATTTAACTAACACAAAATGACTATGACACATGATGACACAGTGTTAGAAACAAAGTCATGACATTTTAGATTCCTGATTGGTTCGTTCTGATTGGTCCACTAGCCATATTTGAATTGTAGATTGTAGAATTATATACTACCCATCAAAAGTTTAGACTCACCAGTGTAAATGTAGCCACTCACTATACTCAACTGTTTCAAACCAGATAATGCCAAATATTCTAAACTTTTTACAGGTACTGTTAGCACATGAACTGATGTGGCGTAAAACCATATCTGTAACGGTGAAAAGATTAGAGTTTTTCGTTCATTAATTGATAAAACTCTGTGAAATGTCGCACATTTTTAAACAAAATTCGCACCAAAACGCAGGTGTTCACATGCACGATAATGCACGTGTTTTAGCAGCAATTTGACGCGGGATACTCGTGCAATTCATCTTTATAAGGATTGCAGTTGGCTCTTCTGAGTTAGTGGAGAAATTCTTCTTTGATGCAAGCATGGGTAGAGGGAGAAGTCTCCGTATTGAGCAACGACATCAAGCCTTGGCACTGCTACAAGATGGCAGATCACAACGGTATGTTGCCAGACGTCTTGGCGTATCCCAATAGGCAGTTTCCAACCTCTGGGTACGCTTTCAACAGACCAACTCCGTCCAGGATCGACCCAGGTCGGGTAGGTCAAGGGTAACATCACAGCAAGATGACCGATGCGTCTTTTTGCTGTTTCTCAGGGGCAGTCACATTACAGCCACAGCAGCCAATAATGCTTTCCAACAAGCTACAGGACGACGTGTATCTGTATCAACAATACGCCGCCGATTACGTCACTACGGACTGCGGGCACGTCGTCCAGCTGTAAGACCCCCTCTTACACCACGCCACCGTCAGAACAGACTGAATTGGGGAAATGGACATTTACGCTGGGGTCCCCGCAGATGGGCAAGGGTACTCTTCTCCGATGAATCAAGGTTCAATCTGCATTTCAACGATGGTCGGATCCCAGTCTACAGACGTCAGGGAGAGCGGTACGCTGACGTTGCTGTTGTGGAGCATGATCGATTTGGAGGTGGATCCGTTATCGTCTGGGGAGGTATCACCCTGACTGGAAGAACTGATTTACTGGTACAGGATGGAAATCTGACTGGCCAGAGATACAGGGACAAGATCATCATTCCTATTGTGCTTCCATTCTTAAGGGCCATGCCAGGTCACGCGGTTTTCAAAGATGATAATGCCAGGCCTCACAGAGCTCGCATCGTGTCAGCTTGTTTACAACAAAATGGGGTGAATCGAATGGATTAGCGAGCATTATCGCCCGATATGAACCCCACTGAGCATGTTTGGGATCTGCTGGGACGGCGTGTTTATGCCAGAGTTCCTCCCCCTGCTAACCTTCGCCAACTTCGCAATGCATTGTTTGAGGAGTCGCAAACATTCCCCAGTGGCAGATTGGACTGTTCATTCGTGGTATGCAACGTCGATGCAATGTCTGTGTTAGAGCCAGGGGTGGTCATACCCGTTATTAAATTTTGCAATTTCACTTTTGTATGGTACTAGCCAATACGGCATTCTGGTTCACTAATCATCAATGCACACGTCCTTGTGAACAAGGATATGAAGACCTAAAAGAATGATTTTGTTATTTTTTATCGGTAGCTTTCACAAATACGATTTTCTTACGAAATATAGTGAGTGGTTTCAGTGAGTCTAGACTTTTGATGGGTAGTATAGTTTGAAAGAGTTCTATTTATTTCCTCCCTAGAATGAAGATACACCTACAGTGTTTTCTATTTAAATCTATGTTTGAAACCTCTAAACTGAAAGCATAGTAGGTTTATTGCCTAATTGGGACTACCTTTAGAATTCAGCACCACAAATTTTGAAACATGTAGCAATGACGGAGTTGATCACAGCTGGATAAGAAGCCAAAGTAGATCCCTAAAGCTTCCTCGTAGATCTCAAATCCTGGAGGTATTTGGCGGTCTGTTGCTGAGAAGCGGTGATGGGAGTGGCTATCTCGCACGCCTTCTTCTTATGGTTATAGATGGCCTTAGCAGAGAAACAGTGAGCCTCTGTAATGGTCATGGCTACCTGCTTTGGCAACAAGGGACCTCTGTAACCAAGCGCAAGAGCATTTGGGGCTACGGGTAGAGCAGTAGGGAGTGAGGCTGCACGAGAAGGTCATCTCGCAGTGGAAGTTGATGGAACCATCTTTCGGTGAGCTGGACCAATGTGGGAAATCAATTCCAACATGGCTGAAAAGGGCATGGCAAATATCAGTGTGAGGAGAACGCAGGTTTGGGGGAATGGTGTAGCAGTGGAGGCCTTCTCATGATATCGACAGTGCATCGTGGTCCCAAGATGGAGATGCCATTCTGTTGTTGATAGACGCTAAAGTTCCTGTCTCTGTTGAGGTCTGGGAGGAAGCGTGATGTTTGACAATGTAGCAGAGGGAACAAGACATCTGTCGATCCTCCACCAGTGTACTATGAGTGAGCTTGAGCTTATCCGCAGGGGCACGGGTGGCCCAGTCGTCGTGATTCGCTGTGCAGAGTCGCGTCCCTTGGGCACACCAAAACCTATGATTGCGGGTTCGAATCCCGGTACACCCTGATTACGTTTCTTTTTTTTATCAGCACCATACCCGTGCTCGTGGGTTTCACCGAAGTGGTAAACGTCTGAGATCTGCATCACTTCTGGATTTCCTCCCACATTAAGCTGACACGCCGTGATATGACTGGAATACTGCTAAAAGTTAAACCCAACTCACTCACACTCATTTAATTAGATAATTACATTTTTCATTGGTAACCAATATTTTTTTCACTCAACTATTCAGCACTCTTTTGGGGTTTTCCAAAAATTAGTGAACATTTCAAGATTCTAGCGATAATAAACAGGCCGAGGGTGATAAGGCGAATAAGGAGAGTCATGAGTATCCATGCCATGGCGGAAACAAGTCCATATGTGGAGGTTAGCTTTCCCAATCATGTGGAGGGTTTGTGTAGGCACTATAAGGAAAATGGAGTAAAATGGGGTACTCGCCGTTGGTGATGGTAGTCATACGAAGGAGCACTGAACCAAATAATAAGAGGAAGAAGAGCGACCCAAGGCCGGCATATTTCTCATCAAATCAGCATAGTCTTCATCCTCAGAAATGTTGTGCAAAAAGTGTGACGTCAAGAACAACGATCTACGGAAGACTGATTCACTGTTCGTCCATCCTCAGACAAGTGTTGATCAGTGGAGGAACGCCAATATTTGGAAGTTCACTAATCCTGGGAGGAGGCCCAATCCTTGGAAATACGCTGACCCGGAAAGGTTTGTCTATCCTTGGAGAATTCTAAAGTTGCTATGTAACTGGTAATGTTTGGTATGTGTTGCTAGGATATCTGGTTAGGTTGTGAGGATGTAACAAAAATTGCGGAGTGGGCAGTTCGAGTCTAGATCTTGAATAAACAAGTTGTATTGTGTGAGCTGTGTTAGAAGCTTTCAGTATGTAGATCTCGAGAGGAGTACCGATCCTTGTAGGTGCGTCAATTGTCCGACTGTCGTACCCTTTAATTCTAATCCCTGTTTGGAGCGCGTTGAACCTCGGAAGTTCCGGGATCCATAGCCGAAAGTGGAGACTTGATTGAGCATTCAGGTGAATTATTTTTAGACACGTTTCCACATAGGATCGAAAGAAGAAATGCATAGAGCACCAAAGACCAACTGCACTTATTGCTATTTCAAGATGTGTTGCTCAAATGAAATCTACTACATATTGGTTTGGTGTTCAGAATATACTCTGATTGACATATTGGACATATTACACCCTGATATTTGTTTATGCCTGACCTTACCACGAACTTTGAGTCACAAGGTCAGACGTCACTCGCAAAAAGTAATTAATTTTGTGAGACAATACTTCAGATATGTTGACTTTTAAGACATTGCTTACATTAAGACATTACTGGTCAAGACTTCAATGACTTTTGATGTGTTGTTCTTATTTTCCATCTATTAATCCATTTAATCGCCATCATGGTTTTTGAAAATACTTGTATTCAGTACAGCAGTTTATCCCATAGCTTTATATCTACAGCACTCTAAGTTTGTTTGTTTTTGTTGGGACCTAAGCGGCTCTTAACGATAATATTTTAGGAGCCAAACCAAAGTTTTTAGGAGCCAACGTTTTTGCAAGGGAGCCAGACTGAGAGTAGGAGATAGGACACATGTTTGCCCAGGTTTCATATGTTTGTAGGGGCTTCACTGTGTGAAGTCTAAAGACGGGTGTTCAATTGTAAAAGACTGGTACATTAAGTAATAATGTCTATATTTTCTTTTAGTACAATACTACTTATGTAAGTGCAACAGGGTACAAAATACTCTAGATATTAATGACTGCCCTGTAATGGTATCAACTGCAAATAAATAAACATCATGATATGAAAAAATTGTAATTAATTACATCAAAATGTTTAGAAATCGTTATCATAATATAATAAATCGACAGATTTTCCCATTTGTAAAATAACTGTATATTTAGGCATTTAATAAATTGGTAAAACTTTAGTCATTTTACACCTTGACTATAACATATACAAATAATAAGCAATGCTCAGGTGAAATATTTAGTTTGTGTTACAATTCAAAATAATGTAAACGAAAATCGCACAATACCAAGCAAGTGACTTATCAAAACATTGTGACCATTACCGCTGCTACCCCCAAGATACCTACATTTCCTTATTATTTCCAAAACAAAACTGTATTTCATTTTGTTGTTCAAAGTGATGATACGCCTTTATACTATCAATAAAAGCAACAAATGCTTTTGACCTCCATGTCAGAATGATGAGATCTGATTGGTCCATGTGATCTTGATAAAATACTGTGTAACCTGCCCTGGAGGGTATTAAAGTTCTCAGCAGGGGAATAAATCTTTTATACACCACCACGAGCAATGCACGTGCATTTCTGAGAGACAGAATAAATCCTTGATACCACGCTTCAAAGCAAAAAGCTGCACGCCTTTTCCGAGCCAATGGATGTCACGTGATATAGCGCAAGCTAACCTCAGCTCAATCAAATACTGTAAAACGTCTCCAAAAGAATGCGACCGCTGGCCCCTACCCCAAAATGCGACTCAATATGAATGCGACACCCCCTCCTCTCAAGCTTCAGTGGATTTATATCTAAATAAAATGTCCTCTGTCAGGTTTACAGGAGAATCCTCACCTTAGTCCAACCTTACATTAACCAAATCACACACCAAATAGCACCGCTTATTAGCGCTGAGTAGAGTACTTCAGCTAAAACAATACATGCGCGCTGGCTCGTGTCGGCCTTTGAATAGTCGCAAAGAACAAAGACACTGTGTTGGGTGGGTGGCGTCTGTCTGGACTTGAAGGTGTGATCAGTGATGACAAATATGAGTGACAATTCACAGGATGTAAATAGTGTTTGAATGACATTGTTTATATACTTGTTACAAGTACTGCTCAATAAACAGTGATGTGGAAGACATAGTTGTTTGTTTTCAGCGTATGTCTAAGTTGGTATTTCTGCTATCCAAAATGTCTTATTGTTGATATAAATGTGATGTTTAATAATGCGAACAAAAACCACTCGCATTTATCGCATTTAATTCACCCTCGCGTTAATTTCAAGATTTACAGTAACTGTTTTCTATCAATTTGGAATTTATTTGAATTATTTAACAATGTCATAATAAAACATGTTAGTAAGATAAATTCAGTGTAGCAGGATCATGAGGGGTACATAGGGTTTTATGCATCCCTTGTAAGGTTTTATAATGCTCGTGATCCTGCTACAACTTATAGTATGGTTGGCACAGCACAGGTTGCGAACAAGTTGAGATTCCTTGGATATCATTCTAGTATCCACGGGAAAAACAATAAAACAGGCAACAGTGAATTGTCAGTGGCCATTTAAAGAAGACTGGTTTAAAAATTATTTCTTAAATGCAGAATGACAAGAAAGTAAAAAGTAATAAACACAGATCCATAAGACTATGCGTAGTGCACCTGCATTTTTCAAAAATATTTGTCTTAGATTATAAAGTCCTAATAAAAGGGTAAACAAAATATGCAAAAATATTTAACAAAACTTTTCATACAAAGAATCATCATCACTTTTTCATTCTGATGCATTTAAAAATGTCAAATTGATAATTTTAATAAGGTAGCAATAGATAAATTGAAGTATGTGTCAATACTGCACTGGTTTGTATACAGTACAATAATCCTCCATCACACTTTGTTGTCTAGTTGCTACATTTTGCATTCTATCAATCTGGGTAACATATAACATCAATGAAATGGACATCCTTTGAAGGTGAGGTGAAATGGGGTTTAACGTCGCATCCAAGATTATTGCACTTACATGGCGACGTGCATGCGTGCACATGTATGTGGTTGCTTGTACTAGTCCAGGCGAATGCTGATTTTATAGAGCTTCCTTCTGCTCTCTGGGTAGACGCTCTACCACTGGACATAACATTTTAAACAAAAAATAGCCATATATAGTCAGATTGCAAAAGTCAGATCAATGTCAAAACTTATATGAGCACACTACTTACAACACATGTACAACATTTCATTACATTTTGAATGAAAATAGCTGAAGGGTGGCCCTTGGTTAAATATGGCTGTGTGGCGGCCATATTGGTAATTGGATTTGGACACTTTCTGGTGTGATCTTTGGTGCCAACAAACATGTCATGTTTCATTGGTCCAGTGGTTTCTGGGGTGATTATGTTTTCTTAAATTGGACAAGTTAACCATGACATATGGCCACTCACCTTTCATTCAGGTGAGCTAAAATGTAAAACACTTGAGTGATGATGGCTACTTGGACTACTAGCAAAGATAAACATACAACTCGACCCCTCTGTCTAAAACCTACCGTTTGACAAGCTTCAGGCTGGTAATGCGAGTTCGATTCTCAAAGCGCCCCTCCGAAAGTGTGTCCGGTAAAGTGCAGTTGTCCCAATGTTGTTCATATCATTTCGTGTTTTATTATCACGTATTCCTGGAACTCTACTTTCGTTATTGCAGCCTAACTGGAAGGTTCGATTGTGATATTAGGATTGACGCGGCGGGCCCAATATGAACATGATGTATTACATATGCCAGCAAAGGCGGATAGCTACGTCCAGTGTCCTTTCGTAAAATGTGAAGCGAACGGATGGACAGACGCATGTAAATTTTATTCATTACGTATAGCAAATTATCAATCCAGAATAAGAGAAATGTGCGGGGCTCCCCTTACAGTTGTATAGACTGGTCCATATTTGATGTGGTCACGTTTCCTGGAATCATTGACTGGTGTGCAGTAGGGTGGAGGTTACTGCTGAACAGTCTGGCTCCCCGAGTCTGACAAGGTGAGTTTCCCTTTCAGGTAAATTCCAAAACAAGGTTGACATTATATAATCCTTTTATCCATTAGCGTATATACCAGTGTTAACTATAGTACATTATGAAGTTAGTCGATCCAACCTTAAATTTGACGTGTTCAGTGTTGACTTTGAGATGTGTTATCGCATGTCTGAAACAAAGGCGAGTGTTGGCGCTTATGTAATCTACGGAAGCCTTTTCGGGCCATGTCCCAAAAAAATTCAAACACTTAGTTTCTGTAAAATTCCACTTAAATGGTTTAAATAGAGTCAACAGCTATATTGGAATACCTATAAACCTCAAACTATGCAGAGGTGTGTTAAAGGGGCACTGATCTAACGCAATTCCCCGGGACAAGTTGTTGCCTTTGTTATTGTTTTTTCCCAGTGAGTACCCGGATGTATAGCAGAAATCTAGACTAGTTCGCGACCTCTGCTGCACCATTTGTAACCGCATTAGTCACTTTTATGGGTAGTAATAAGGGCGTATGGTCACATTGATCAACAGAATGAAATACAGTTTTCGAGATAATAAGGAAATGTAGGTATCTTTGCGGGTAGCATCGGTAATGGTGACGAAATCTTGATAAGTCACTTGCTTGGTAATTTTGCGATTTTCGTTTACACTATTTTCACTTGCAACACAAAGTAAATATTTCACCTGAGCATTGCTTTTTTTTATAGTGTGTATATTTTTTTACTGTCAAAATGTGTAACATTTTCAAATTTATTAAACGCCTAGATATTCAGTTATTTTACAAAGTGACTGAAAAACATTTCCATCTGTATTATTATGATAACGAATTCCAAACATTTTGATGTTTAATGTCATCACCAAGAGACTGAAAATGTTACGTTGAAAAGTACATTTCTATGTTGTTTGGCTTCTAATCCAACATAATAATCTGTTGTGATGTTGTTAGGCCCTTTTGATCGTCTTAATCAATTTTAGTCAATCTGAAGAATTTCCCAACCAAGACGTAGAGGAACAAGAACGAATCCGTTCAATAATACAGCGAATGAAGGAAAACAAAATGCAAATACCATAATTATAACCTACCATATTTATGTGTATAAATTTTGGGCAGCTTCCTTGTTCGAGGAATGTATCCGTGAATATCCACACAAAGGAACAATATCCCACTCGTCTGCAGCTGTACAAAGAAACTTATTCGATGTCACGTGTCTCTGTAACAATCAATTATTTTTAAAGATATATATCGTTTCGGGATATTATAACCCGTGTTCCTTTCTCGTCTGATCACTTAGATTGTTTCAGGTGTTTCACATAGGTGTCAAGTCTCAAGGGTCGGCTGAGAAACAACTATTTTCATAACGTCCACGGTTCCTAAAAAATCCATTGAGTGATAGATAACAATGATCAATCAATCAACGTATTATTAGTTAACCCTTTGAACAAAGTATGTTGTTTTTACATCGACACTTCACGCCATGATATGAGTGTATTCCCTTTGTTTTAGTAAACCTAAACATGTAAACACTCCCTTTTGACATATCCACTGTGCAAGATAACAGTGATTAATCAATCAACATATTTTCTGTTAATCCTTTGATGACTAGGAACGATCGGTTGATTTACAAAAAAAGTAAATGAACTGATCATTCACCTCTTGCTGGGCTGCCACATGCATATTACATAACACACATTTCACCTCACTTCAAACCTGGATTTAGATTGAATAATTACCCCAGACACAATAAATGCCAAATGGGAACCTTTGTCAGGTAATCTAAGTGGTGCTACCACTAATTGAACCTGTAATAAATTCATTAACTGAGCATCAAGTGAATGACGACAAATACATAAGTGTAGGGTTATACCAGAAAACGCGGATGACAACCAGTGAGTAGTAATCGTATTATCGACGCAATCCGAAATCCGAAAATGCTTTCACTGCATGGATACTTTTTATTATTATTAAACTATAACCATCTGGGGTATTTCCAAATGACGACATACGATGAGCTCCGCCGTTTTTTTTGTCTGTTTGTTTAGGCTGAAAAAATTAATTAACATGCGCCTTTTGTCGAAATCTTTATAGATCACGGTTAAACTAATCAGTATTAAAAATGCGTAAAACAAATATTGCCTCCAGCCTCCAAGTTTATTTAGCTGTCCTTGCAGACGGTAGCCCAGTTTCTGGTCATGCTCAGTTGCGTTGCGTATCATCCGGGTACTCACGGGGGAAAAAACAATAACAAAGGCAACAACCAGTCCGGGGAATTGCGTAAGATCAGTGCCCCTTTAACATCGTTCGAACATACGTATGCTTAGGTTTAAGCAATAAAGACATTCTATATTTTCTGGCTCCATATCACAAGATTTTGATAAGTGAACGCGCACTGAAAAGAAAACTTGCAAAAATGAAGCTCTATCGGAGAAAAGGAAAATCAAAGCTGGTTGATGTCGCTCTCTTCATCTTGTGTGATCAAGCCTTTGAGGTTTTTCACTTTTATCAACTCGTGGTGATATAATTGATATCAAAAGACACTTGAGTGAGATTTTATTTATCACCCAATATCTCTACACGAGGAAACATCCAGAAAACACTGCCTGGCTAAGCAGCTCTACTTCCATCAGCCGTTGTCATAATGACGTCAAAGCCATTGTTACGTGACTTCATAAAGTATACTGAACAGCATTGAAAACGCACCACCATGAAAATGGATGTATTTTCATCGCGGCTTAAAGGGGCACTGATCTAACGCAATTCCCCAGGACTGGTTGTTGCCTTTGTTATTGTTTTTTCCCAGTGAGTACCCGGATGTATAGCAGAAATCTAGACTAGTTCGCGACCTCTGCTGCACCATTTGTAACCGCATTAGTCACTTTTATGGGTAGTAATAAGGGCGTATGGTCACATTGATCAACAGAATGAAATACAGTTTTCGAGATAATAAGGAAATGTAGGTATCTTTGCGGGTAGCATCGGTAATGGTGACGAAATCTTGATAAGTCACTTGCTTGGTAATTTTGCGATTTTCGTTTACACTATTTCGACTTGCAACACAAAGTAAATATTTCACCTGAGCATCTTTTTATAGTGCGTATATTTTTTTACTGTCAAAATGAGTAACAAATTTATTAAACGTCTAAATATTCAGTTATTTTTTACAAATTCCAAACATTTTGATGTTTAATGTCATCACCAAGAGACTGAAAATGTTACGTTGAAAAGTATATTTCTATGTTGATGACGCTGCCATTCATCTACATGCATATTACATAACACACATTTCACCTCACTTCAAACCTGGATTTAGATTGAATAATTACCCCAGACACAATAAATGCCAAATGGGAACCTTTGTCAGGTAATCTAAGTGGTGCTACCACTAATTGTACCTGTAATAAATTCATTAACTGAGCATCAAGTGAATGACGACAAATACACAAGTGTAGGGATATACGAGAAAACGTGGATGACAACAAGGGAGTAGTAATCGTATTACCGACGCAATCCGAAATCCAAAAATGGATACTTTTTTTAGTATTAAACAATAATCATCTGGGGTATTTCCAAATGACGACATCCGCTGAGCTCCGCCTTTCTTTTTGTCTGTTTGTTAAGGCTGAAGAAATTAATTAACATGCGCCCTTTGTCGAAATCTTTATAGATCACAGTTAACCAATCAGTGTTTATGCAAAAATGCGTAAAACAAATATTGCCTTCAGCCTCCAAGTTTATTTAGCAGTCCTTGCAGACGGTAGCCCAGTCTCTGGTCACTCTCAGTTGCGTTGCGTATCATCCGGGTACTCATGGGGGAAAAAACAATAACAAAGGCAAAAACCAGTCCGGGGAATTCCGTTAGATCAGTGCCCCTTTAAGTCATATGAAAATATATAAGTGAATGAGTAATATATGACATTCTGGACGAAGCATGAAGAAGAACAGCTCATCAAAACACATTCCTAATTTTTTTGTGAGCGACATCACCAAAACGCAACAAATTGCGTGCACATCATGGAAAACGTGTTTTGTTTCAAGGGAAGCATGCAGAATAGGGCTATAAAAGACAGACTTTTAAAAGCCACATCACTTGTTGCTGCAGATGTAAAGGGTACTGACACAAGAAATGCCAAGATTAACAGCAGAGGAACGTGAACGTGCCTTGGGCATGCTTCAAGTTGGTACGTCAAGTAGAGTCGTTGCACAACGAGTTCAATGCCATCATTCAACAGTCCTCAGGCTACTGAGCAGATACCAGCAGACAAGAACCACCAGAAATCAACCACGTCCGGGTCAACGTCGTGTAACTACACCACGTCAGGATTGCCATATTATTCGTCGGCATCTTCGTGATCATACACTTCAGGCTACCAGGACTGCAGCAACCGTACAAGGCCGACGGGGTTTGATCAGTGATGACAGCGTATGTCGACGTCTCCGCTCAGCAGGGCTACGTGCCTGACGGCCATATGTTGGACCCATACTCACTGATCGACATCGAAATGAACGTCTGCGTTGGACCAAAAGGCATCGTCATTGGAGATTGCGACAGTGGCATGGTGTGCTGTTCTCTGATGAGTCCCGTTTTCATTTATGGAATGCTGACGGTCGACTGTGAGTGTGGCGTCGACGTGGAGAACGTTACCACAATGACTGCGTTGTACAGACAGATCGATGGGGGGAGGGAGTCTCATGTTGTGGGGCGGCATCAGTCATAACCATCGAACAGAGCTCCATGTATAAATAGGTGGGATGTGCCCTCTGTGGAGAGTAGGGGGGCATGGGTGGCCCAGTCATCTAAGGCACTGTGATCCGCTGTGCAGATTTGTGTCCCTTGGGGACACGAGAAACCTGTGATTGTGGGTTCGAATCCCGGTTCGCCCCAATTATGTTTCTAGCTTTGTCAGCACCATACTCATTGGTTTCACCGAAGTGGTAAACGTCTGAGACCTGCATCCTTCGGGCTCTCCTCCCACATTAAGCAGACACACCGTGATGTTAGTGGAATACTGTTAAAAGCTGCGTTAAACCCAACTCACTCACTCACTCACTCACTGTGGAGAGTGGCCATTTGTTTTCATTTCAACATGGTCGACGTGAATTGTCAATGTCTATGAGTTTAATTTATGATGTGAATTGTATAAATGGACGTTAAAGTGCTCTCTGTGAAGGGTGGCCATTTTGTTTATTACACTTCTTTGGGATGACTTGTCAAATGTCTTTGGGGGCTGTCTGGTAACCTAATGGTTAAAGCATTTGCTGTCAATGTAGGCTTGTATCTGTGAGAATGTTTTGTGAATAGCCTCTAGCTGTAGAATTGCTCAACTGGAGGACCCGCCACTCGAAGTGTTTCCCTTGAAGGTAAAACCACTTGTAAGCACCATGAAAGTCCAAGGATGCAAAGAAGGCCCCCGGTTGAACATGCAGCAGCAACTGCATTGACAGACGGAACCTGGGAGCCACTTTGTTGATGGGGTGAGGTGGGCATGAACACTGGAGCCTCTCCAACTCCTGCCACAAGAAGACCTATTCTACTTGGATGCAGGCAGGCGTTCAGACAACTTGGGGTGTGGACTTCATGGACAGATGATAACTTTGCATCCATCTGCTGGAAATATCTCTTCAGTACTGGGATACATGATAATGTATGGAGCACTTGCATGGTAACCACAGCTTGTGATTCTGTTTTAACATGTAAGTGGCCGAACACCTTGCCTTTAAATAACTACAAGGGACAATTGAGATGAAAAAGCTACATTAGAAAAAAACCCAAGGTGAATCTTCCATGTGTGCTTGGTGCCAGGGTTGGTATGGAACCCCATTGAGCTGCCAAATTACAAACATTGCTGATAACCTTGATAACAGCTTGACATGGTATCCTCCAAATACTTGAATAGGGTTGAGATAAATGACGGAAGCCAAGAAAAGAGGTGCTAGCGCTGGTGTAGGTCATGATCGATGGCCAGAAGATGCTTGACATCAACTCTAAGATGAAGATCAGTGAGCACTCCCAATCTTGGAGACATCATCAATGTACTGCTGGGGATGAGATGCAACCCATCTGATTTCCGCAATAAGCCAAAGTTATCCATGTCCTTCAGAGCCCGAGTCCTGGGCAGGTGGCAAATAGATCATCATCAAGGACAGCAGCGTTCGAAATACCTGCCTGCCCGATCGTCGGGTTATATTTCATAGGTGAAAATATTCTAAATATTTCCTGATGATAAGCATTAATTCACATGTAAAGATGAATGATAAAATGTAACCAAAAAGAAACCCCGTTAGCTTTTAGACAACCTAACATGCGCTTTTGCTACAAGCAATCAGTTTCATATTTTTAATTAAATTATCCTGAGAAACATATGATTATAGTGGGCAGGCAGGTTTTGGTCAGGGCTGAGTGGACAAAGTATGAATGACAGATTTGTAACACCCAAATGCGAATAAAAACAACAGTAGATGATTCAAACTAAATTAAGAAGATACAACAAACTTTTGTGTACAATAAATGCCTACAATAATAACAATAGCAACATGAAAAACAGTAGTTATGAAAATATGAGTGCGCTAGGAAAAAACCCATTCCGTATGCTTATATGAAGCAAGCGGACAATAAAGGGTAGATAACGATGTTGGTGACCTGCTACTAGGGTATGGGATGTTGAAGATAAGAAGCAAATTGTGCACTGTCACAACAGGGTAGTCAGTCAAGTCAGGCCCCTCTCCTTGGCTGTTGTTTTGCAGATTAACCCATTGGCCGATTCATATATTGCAGCTTTATCTGCCCCATCACTCTTGGTTGTATAATATGCATAATGACATCAGCAGCTTCAGACCAATAATAATTATTGTCTTGTAAGTGAGATACTGTTATCATATCCGTCAAGTCTGATGAGAATTGAAATAAATTCTTGTTTTGGTTTGAAATCATGTTACAATGTTCATATGCCAGTTTTAACCTTTATTAGGTATATTTATGATGTTTTCTTCATAACATTTGATTATTATTGAGTATTGTTTCCATACTTATTTACCGTAAGGCCACTAATAATTTTCCCATTTTCTTACAGTTGATGATGTTACATCATGATGTAGAGGTGTAGGAACCTAAAGCCATTTCTGAAGTCATGGCTGAAAAAGAGACTGCATTCTGTATGTATATATACATGTATTATGGTCATGATAACTGAAAAAAGTATTTACTGTATTATGATGAAAGCTGGTACATGTCATCCTTAGGGTGTGGCATTGAAGTGGTTTTGAGTGACCTTCACTGAAGGTCAAGGTCATGCATAAGGACTTAGGTTGTTCTTCGGTAATAGAAATATTAATGTGATTGGCAGAAATTGAGGATCATAAACCAAAAGTGCCTTTAACTTTCTTATTAAGATAGCAAGAGGCATGGGATTTTGCTGATTAAAGTTATCTTGTGTTTTCCCAAATTGCAAGTGAGGTACTTACAGAGGAAATGTTTGTAGGTTCCCCATTTTGTTAGCTAGATGCCAGGGGCAACTAGCAAAAAACCCTTTGCTCAGGGCACTTTTAGCGCCTAAGATCTAGATGTTAAGGGTTCTCTTTAATAAAATTTTCACTACTTTCATGAAGCATCCTTAGAGTCATTGGAAGGAAAAGTTTTTTAATCACCACCCTTTGCACTAGAAGATGAGGGGCGGTCGGGTAGCCTAGTGGTTAAAGCGTTTGATCGTCATGCCGAAGACCCGGGTTTGATTCCCAACATGGGTACATTTCTGGTGTCCCCCGCCGTGATATTGCTGGAATAGTGCTAAAAGCAGCGTAAAACCATACTCACTCACTCACTCACTCACTCACTCACTCACTCACTCACTCACTCACGCAATTTGAGACACTGATAGAGAAATCATGTACTAAGTAATATAATTTATGGCTGAGAGAAGGAAGGGAGAACTAATGTGGGATTGAAAATTGTCTGATCAATATTTGAAAGGGTTCGTATGTATAATAATGTACTACTTCTTTCTTCAGCTCTCGAGATTACAGTCTCTGCTGTTCTTACTCACAAAGATGGTACAACAGAGGAAGTTGATGACATAAAGTGTCTACTGAATCAGTTCAAAGAGTATCAAGTTGTGCAGAAGTTTCTTTGCAAGGAAACATACTTCCATCTGCAAGGAGCTTCTATTTCTAAAGATGAACTGGTGCTCAAATGTTCCATTTTATCTGAAAGTGAACTAACTGATCTGGAAAGTGCTGTTGAAAATGATCACTTGGGACAGGAACTAACTAAGTATGTTATTAATAGTGGACTTGAAACTGAACTTTCTTTATCACATGACAGTGACATTAAAGTCAGTTTGGTGTTGGAGTTGAGAAAACAATGGATGCGGCAAGGAAGGGCTTATTTTAAGAAGATTTCCAAGTGAGTTTTCATTTTCATTTTACATAATCAGGGGAGGGGGTTAAGCAATTAATTTGCTAGGGTTAACATAGTTTCCCACTTCTGTCTTTATGCCTCGTGTGTCTGTCCGTCCTTCAATAATAATTTCGTTTCCAGAGCGTAACTCGAAAACCGTTCAATATCTTTCAACAAAAATTGGCAGATATATCAACCAGTTCTAAACATGCTAAAGTGATGCCTTTTGCTATTTACAGATTTTTGGCATTTTTATTATACCCCCGACAATTTTCCATTTTTTTATGAATTTTTCAAACCCTAACTTCTAACTTTGTCCGCGCGATTTCTCTTAAACTTTTCAGTGGATTCATCTCACACTTAGTACATATAATCTGTGTCATATACAGGGGTGCAGTCAAAAGAAAAAAAAATTGTTTTTATTAATTTTCCATTTTTTTATGAATTTTTCAAACCCTAACGTCCGTTCGAAAATTTTGTCCACGCAATTTCTATTAAACTATTCAGTGGATTCATCTCAAACTTAGTACATATAATCTGTGTCATATGGAGGGGTGCAGTCAAAAGAAAAAAGAATTGTTTTTATTAATTTTCCATTTTTTAATGAATTTTTCAAACCCTAACCCCCGGGTTTCCCCTGACGCAGTATTCTTGCGTATATGACTCTCAATTAAGGTAAAATACGTCCAGAAATTAATGACTGCATCATGACTGACGCAATTTCAAAATATCTGTGTTGTTGTTTACCAGCTTTGGAATGAAAATATTACAACTACTCACCTGAACTTAATTTATAAACATTTTCTGAAGACAATATATGCACACATCTTAAAATTTACATCTAGTTTTTAATTAATCGTCGTTTCAAAATATATTTATGCATCAAAGTGAACGTAACTCTCACACTCCATGTGGCTTCGATGACAGCACGTGATGTAAACAAAGGAAAATTCCGCAAATGGACAAGGTTTTTCATGTTTCGGCATATTTTCTCACTAAAAGTTAACCATGACATATGTTTATCTAGACGTGTAGACTCGTAATAAATGAAACAGAAGAAAATATTATCATTGTTGCGGTGAATAATGTGGTTTGGCACGGTTACAGTACGTGGTTAAGCAGAACCTATGGAACGGGGTAAACAGAAGTTGTAAGAATCGGAGGGACACATGTTTTTGCTGAAATTTAGGTAAACATTATTGAATGAAATTTTAAATAAAATTAATAAAATAGATGACAATCATAAGGTCAGATATACAGAGAACACATTTTTATTACCAGATAGTGTAACAACAGGATTAACTTGCGTAATTCAATTCGGATTTGTTATGCTATTTCCAATGACGGATCATGACAGCCTGAAATGAGACTGAAGAAAAGTCTGTGCGTATTATACACGAGAGATATTTTTTTCAGGATTTACTAGCCCATAATTAGGGGTGTGTATTATACACGAGTGTGTATTATACACGAATAAATATGGTATATACGAAATGTAAAGCTTTGGGCGTGTTTGTTGTTGCTAATAAACTGTATTCAACCAGAAAATATTACGAGTGTTCACAAGTCTTCAGTTCAACTTCACTGTTGATAGATAATACAAGATAACTAGATAAAAGATGTAAATGAGCTAGTGGTATTAGATTATAATCTGACATGAAATGTATTTTAATATCCATCCATGATTAAAAATTATGTCTCACAGTTGAGACTGATATTATTTATTCATCCTGTATTACTGTCACTGTAAATTGTTTCATGAGCTGTGAAGTAATTAAGGATTGTGAAAAGATAAAACCAACAAACTTTGTTTTTCATTCATATATCCTTTATTTCTCTGTAGTACAATCAGCTGAGAACATTAATTAGCACTTGTTAACTTAAACTAAAGACATATAATATTTAAAAGATACTTAACTTTAAGTGTAACATTAACAGTGAACACTTTAAATTTCATTAATCATACAATAAAACATTTGACTCTCAAAAAATATTTTTGACTCCCAAAAATTCATAGGCTGAGTCAAGGTGACTCTCAGATATTGGAGTCTAGGGGGAACCCTGCCTAACCCTATCCTAGCTATTTAATTTGTAACTACTGACACACTAGGCGGGTCGGGGGTATTAGTGAGCCACACTCACTTTTGCACTTGTTTTTCTTGATTTCCATTTAAACAATTTCTACTTAGTCTCATAAGGGTGGAGATAGGTGTCATCTTGGTAGCACAACTTGAAAACTGTGAAAGACTTTTCATTAAAACCTGGTAGACTTAGATGAAATGGAGGTAGGTGTCATTTCTGGAGCAGAATTAAACAACTATGCTACATTTTTCATCCAAACTTGGTACATGAATAAATCAAGGGAAGAAGTGGTGCCTTTTACTATAAAGGAATTTAAAAACAAAATGTTTTTCCTGTTTCCATGGCAACAAGTTTAACTTTGACTCTGTTCATAGTGGTGTGTTTGTATGGACCATATCTCTAAAACTAATAGGTACTCTTTCCGGAAACTGTGCACACACAAATACCAGGTTGTCAACTTGTACCTTTGGCTATTTAGGGAAATTTTAGAATTTATATTTTTCCTGTTTCCATGGCAAAAAGTTTGATTTTGACTCTGTTCAAAGTGGTATGTACCCGACATAGAAACGAATACAAAGTTCCGATTCCCAATTCCATAGTACTGTTTTGATAGGTCAATTACTACTCTTGTATACTAACAGACAGATTAGATAGAAATTCTCTCAAGTTGGACTTAAAGTAACAGCCAGATGATTTGTCCTTTGAATTTGTGGCAATCTTATTAAAATCTCTGAACAAACATCTGAGGACATCCCATTACGGGTCACGCCAGAACGACCTTTCATCGGACCAATCAAAGCGTGGCTTACTAGATCATGAAAGTGACAGTCGGAATGTGTTTTCTAATCATGCAACCTCGAAAACGTTAACACAATGTATTCTGAACAACAGTTACGGCCCCTACGACTGATTCCGTCAAAATTATCGTTTATCTCTTGTTTCCGTGGGATAAACATTAGAAAGGAGTTGCTCAGTATGTGGAATAAACTACCATACAATCTCAACCAGCGTAGTCTGAAATGGAAGTTGCCAGGTTGAAATGAGTGCCGTAAAGCTCGAGAAAGCTGCTTTCTATTTGGCTGGTCATAACTTCACGAGAGGTCGTTCTGACGTGACCCGTATCAATAAAACACCTGCAAAAGTAGCCTTGATATTTGGTATTTTTTTAACGGGGTGCCACAAACATTTTCAGATGCATATAAGGCTTTTGTTAGCCACTATCAGTACTAAACTCTATCGGACCAGTGTCCCTTAGAAAATGGCACACCCCAAGGTAGCATTCTAAGACCAACACTTTTCAACATAATGATTAATGACCTGTTCGAGGGAATAACCAATAAAATTCAAACTTCCAAATACACGGATGATGGAGCCCTCTGGTTCCGCACCAGAAGCATAAATATGGCTAAAAAAATTACTGCAGAATGCATTAAATAAAATTCAAATATGGGCAAGTAAATGGGGTTTCTCACTAAATGCCGAAAAAAACACAGGGTTAGTATACAAACACAAAAAAACGCCCAAAACTAATACAACAGATAATTAAAAGCGCCAACAATAATGTAAACAAGGTAAAGACATAGAAATAGTTTGGATCACTGGAGTGTTTGGCAACGAACACGCAGACAAAGCGGCCAAATCAGCACTGAAATTAGAAGACGTAAGCATCAACCTACCAATATCAAAAAACAAAATTAAAAGTATCTCAAAGGAGAAAATCTTCCAAAAGTGGCAAAATAACTATCAGAATCTGATTGCAAACTAAAACAACTGCTACAAAAGCCACTCCAAAAAAAAAAAAAATCCATCATAAAACAAAAAATTGACAGAGTAATAACTAAACTACAAACAGGTCACACTAAGTTAAACTCCCACCTACACCAAATTAAAAAACGCAAAACCGGTATATGCCCCCACTGCAACTTAAAAGAAACACCTGACCCTGAACCATGTGAACACGTAATACTATATTGCACACATTACCAGCAACACTCCAATCCACACTGAATGGCAACAATCAAAAGACACTAACAACGGTACTAACCCCCTAAATGACTTACAAACCTTTAAAGAACTAGGCATATATCTAATCAAAACAGGCCTACTTGGCCGCATCTAAAAATAAAAGAACAACAAACAAGCTGCTAATAAACCCTAAAATTCTAAACCTATAAAAACCTTTTGTATGGCATATTTCCTAATTCCAAATTTGTTCTCCAAATTGAGTAAGCACCTAGGTTGCCTCACCTTTTCGGACATACACTTTTCGACCAAACACCAAATGGCCTGGCAGGCCAATGCACGAAATACGCATATGTTGGAAAGGGCACATTAAATTCCTAATTTAAGTAAGTAAGCACTATCAGTAATTTTATGGCGCAAATCTTACCAGATTTTCAGTATGGCCATATTGATCTATTTATGACCACTTTGCAGTCATTTTTTTTATGAAATTTATGTTTGTTTAGTTTTAACAATGTTCTTTTTTTATTGAATATTTAAAAATATGACCCTCTTTCACCATGCTCTTATATTCTCTCAAAATGCAAATTTGGCTCTGTAATTTCCCCCCCCATGAAAATGCCAGCATGTGCGAGCTGCACACTGACATATTTGTTTCTCCTTATGATGACTTCATATTTCATTCAAATCATTTCAGTGTTGGTGCTTAGGCCACAATATCTATGTGGACATTTGTTGATTATTATGATGACAGCAGTTCTTTTTTTTAAATATATGTCTCTTTTCAAATTTTTAAACTGTTGACTACATCATCTGTGATCAAGTTGCAATCATTAGTTGTTGTGTGCACTTCTTTTGGCACATAACACTGACTATTGTTTATGATTTTGCAAATTTTGGATGTCATATCACTGAAATTAAGCATCCCCTGGTAAGGCTGAAGTTTTTTCTGGATAGACAGCTATGATATCAGATCACAACAACAAAATTCATAATTACCCAATTCCTTCTATGTGAGGCTCAGACATTAATCAACCCTCCTATTTCATCAAATAATAAAAACAAAGCAACACACAGCAAGGTCTGTTGATTTTATTTACAGTTTTAGATTGAAATCAAGTACTAACTTTGTTTGAAATAATATGTAGTAAACAAGTTATTAACTGAAAAGTATTTTTTGATGTAAAGGGTATGAGAGTTTTTGTGTAGTAATTGTTGCAGTTGCTTACTGGTATCTTGGCTCACGAATACAGAGACATGATTAGATTGTGTCACTTGTGGGAAATTGCCAATTGCCAACTGCCAACATTCGATAAATGAATGAGATATGCCTCATGGGGCTATACCTGTGACACCGTGGTATCACTGAATGAAGGCAGTCTGGTTGGATTTTATAAACATTGTTCACAAGGACATTGGATATCAATGATTTGTCTCCTTGTATTTGTGTCCCTGAAAGGGCACTCAGGGTTCTGCACCAAGTGGATACCTTAGCATCTAAAACCCCTTTTCACCAGAAACATTTTTATGCTTGTTCCCGCCAAGATTATGCTTGATTTGTTTCAAATCTGATTTTCAATACAAGTGGCACAACAGCCATATTGAAAAAGCTATTTATGTCCATTACTCAACCATTATTTTAAAAAGAGTGATTGTTGTATATATATGAGGTTATATATTTGTTGAATGTATTACCAGTTTCATCTTAGCTATTTTGTAGCTGTGATATATCATATGGCACACATGTCGACAATTCAGGTGAGCTCCAGAGCCATATATGTTTACATATAACAGGCGAGATTTCCTTTGAATAATATTCTTTGAGAATATAAAGCTAAGAATCTATTCTTTACAGAACTTCACAAAAGGATGGAAAAAAATCAAAGTCCAAGAAAAAGGGAGGAAAAGGTGATGATGGTGACCAACCATTGGGCGGTGCTTCACCAACAGTGTAATTATCCTTATACACTACCGTATATCGATGGCTATAAAGCGACCAGCCTGTAAAAGCCATCAAAAAATCTATTTATTATATGACATAAAAGGATCAGTACTGTTATGGATGTGAAGGCCTAACATCTGAAGCAAATTGAAAAATTCTTCTATCTGTCCATACTTTCATCACAAATTCTGGTAGATTTAAACTTGAATAAACCCCAATCTCATTAAAATCAGATATTAGTACTTGCTACCGCTAAACAAAGATCTGAGGACATCCCATTAGGGGTCACGTCAGAACGACCTTTCATCCGACCAATCAGAGTGTCGCTTACCAGATCATGAAAGTGCAGTTGGAATGTGATTTCTAATCATGCAACCTCGAAAACTTTAAAATGGGGTATTCCGAATGATATTTATGGGCTTAACGACTGGATCTATACAATCTAGACCATATACTAGCCATTTGAGAATGTTCTTTTGTTCAGGTTTCAAATTTTTAAGCGAGAATTTGTCAAAGTATGTTTCGAAGTGTAGTTGCCAATTTGAAATTAGTGCTGTAAAGCACGAGAAAGCTGCCTTCTGATTGGCTAATGTCGACATCTTGTCAGTAATTCCATTGGTCGGTCAGAGTTCACCAAAAAACGTCGGTCTGACATGTGATGTTCTCAGATCTTTGTTTAGCGGCAGCGAGAAATTAGATCTGATTTTATTTAGATTGAATTAACCCTCATGTATGTATGTATGTATGGATGGATGGATGGATGGATGGATGGATGGATGTGTGTGTGTGTGCGCGCGTTATGGATCTATGGATCTATACACATGCACAAAAGTTAAGCACCACCCACCATATTTGTGAGCTGTTACTTTTGGCACTTAATGATGACTATTATAACGAGATGTACGATTGTTATAAGCCGTATATGTAAACCTCATGTGATGCAAAAGTTGTCCCAAAGCAAGTTTATCTTGTGTTCCAAAAGAATATGAGCAGAATGGAATTTTACCGAAGACCAGAATAATATTACGTATAATCCCATCATTCTGACTATTAAAAACCAGACACTGCTGATCATACTTGAAAACTGACCACCAAGGTATTTTTTGTGTATGTAAACACCTTGACTGTCTTTGTTACCTGATTTCTGTGTAGGAAGAGGTATTAAAATAATCCATCCCATTTTCAGTTGAATAAAAATATGTTTTTATAACCAGACAGTGTAATTACTTCAGTATGGATTAGGCGACTGGTATTTCCAGTGTTACGTGCTTACGGTAATGTCTTTGAGTTCAAAACCCATCTAAACTCTTTTACCCTGTGTATAAGGAGACTTTGAAACCCCCTTTGAAACCCCCATAATTCTATGTCCGAAAGACTTGCCTTATACACAGCAATATACAGTAAGTTAATTGATACATTGAGCCTTTGGTTAGTGAATTAATGATGTATTTGTCTGCCATCAATTGTTTTCTGTAAAGATCTTCTCCCCTGAAACTCGGTCTTACTAATTTTGATATCTACAATTTTAATTTACCTTACATGCTCGTCCTCGTCTGTCATTTTTGGTATGGTTGTCATCTGTGACTTATCAGTAAACACAGACCAAAGAAGCTTAGGCATTGTATTCTTGTTCCCACTCTGAAGATGACACCTGAGTACAATGTGTGAAGCCCACAATTCCTTTGAATACCCTACCTCTATTATAACATGGCCAATATTCCAGCAATTTGGCTAGCATGACACGAAAAAATCTTTTGCACACAGTCACTCCTTTACTGTGTGTGCAAGTCACAACACTGGAATTTGTTTTCAGTTTGTAATTGCGCACGTTTTTCATGTTAAAATCAGGACTAGATTAATTCTAAAGGGTTTCAATAAGATATCGTTACGGTTTTATCAAAATTGGGAGTATTACACGTAGGTAGATTTTTGTGACATATTTTGGGAGCATGGCCTCAACCCTATTACCACGCAGCCTGGGGTGTGGCAGCTCCATGACAGTTGGAGACCCTCATACTCTGTGTATTCTCTGTCGAGCAGAGCTCTGCACATGACATCTCAATGTTCAGAATGCGCTGATGTCTACAACTTGTCCCTCATCATTCTGTGTACAGCATGGGATTCTGCATACTGTTTACTGTTGTTATGTTCAAAGAAGCCTAAGAAGGCAAGATCGTTGGGGACGGAATCTACGAAGATCTCCACCAAGAAGCATTCATCGCACAGTGACGGGGTTGTTAAGCAACCATGTCTGATATCCCACCGGGGCATGAAGGATAAGGCTTTGTTGGGGTTGATGAGGAACCTACCACCAGTTCCCACCTCAACACTCCTAGACCTGTGAAGATTCCGGGGTAGAATAGGTCTTCAGCAACCCATGCTTGCCGTAAAAGGTGACTATGCTTGTCGTAAAAGGCGACTAACAGAATCGGGTGGTCGGGATCGCTGACTTGGTTGATGCATGTCATCGATTCCAATTGCGTGGATCGATGCTCATGATATCCACCACATGATTGTCTGGTCCAGACTCGATTATTTACAGACAGCCGTCATATGGCTGGAATATTGCTGAGTGCGGCGATTTAATAATCCCAATTTACAACAACAGGCTGTGTTCCTGGACACTCGACTTGTGACCAGGCCCTTTCCTTCTTCTTGGTTCATCATGGTAACTGGGGGTCAGGGAAGTTTATCAGTATGGAGGCTGATATCCCAGACACGTCGGCGACACTGTTACTCTATAGAGGCACTGCATCAATTGTAACTTGATGCCAACCCCGGGAATAGGATGGGGGCGGCATCCGAACTTACGCCAATTTGAAACTTGCTACGTCTGACCATTGGATACTCAAGGTTGTCACACAGGATGCAGGGGCTCGGGTGGCCCAGTCATCTAAGGCGCTGCCATTCGCTGTGCAGAGTTGCGTCCCTTGGGCACGCCAGAAACCTATGATTGTAGGTTATGTTTCTAGGTTTGTGAGCACCATACCTTATCATCTTGGGTTTCACTGAAGTGGTAAACGTCTGAGACCTGCATTACTTCGGGCTTTCCTCCCACATTAAGCTGACACGCCGTGATATTAGTGGAATAATGTTAAAAGCAGCGTTAAAACCAACTCACTCACGCACTCACACAGGATGCACATTCTCCAGCATCAGGCACTTGTATCAAGATGTGTGGATCATCGATTCTATTTGGAAGGGACCAAGATAGTGGCTGTGAATTTGGCCATTTGAAGAAGGGAGTGGTTTGCTCACTGGCCAACTGGGATATCAGTGGAGGATCATGTTGACAGAGTGGTATCTACATCCTCATGTCTTCATGCAAATAACAATTACCAAGGACAATCCACATTTTGACTTCTTTGCGACATGACTCAACCACAAGCTTCCTGCATTTGTCAGTCCAGTACCAGACCTACAGGCTCATCACATGATGCCCTGTTCATGAGTTGGTAGGGGATGTAAGCTTCCACATCTCCCTCGTGGCCACTGCTGAACCGAGTCCTGAGGAAAGTGGAGGACTTGGACTGTGTTGTCATCCTCATAGCTCAGGCTCGGCCAAACAGGTTTTGGTTTCTCAGACTGATTCCCTTCCTCACTGGCTGAACCACTCCAGCTTCCACTTTATTGTCCCCCGCCGCACGAATGCGCGAAGCGGGGGACATAGTATTCACGACCGTCCGTACATACGTCCGTCCGTCCGTCCGTCCGTCCGTCCCACCTGTTTGTTGCCGCGATATCTCAAGAACTAATCGCTGGATTGTCTTCATATTTGGAACTATGGTGTATATACAGACACCGCAGACACCAGTCGGTTTATGTGACCTTGACCCCATTTTCAAGGGTCACAGCAGGCAAATCTGCTTTTGGTGTTGGAAAACGGTGAAGAGAGAGAGAGAGAGAGAGAGAGAGCTATTTCTGTTACATCAGGAAGTAATTACTCCCACCTGGATGTAGTGATTGGAAATAAGTGTGAAAAGGCATTTTCACAAGGTAGGGTGTTTGCCTAACAACTGTTTGGGATGCCTGTTGAAAATCTAAGGATTTTTTTAGAGTGATGTTAACCAAATTGCAGGACTATTGGCTATGATGTAATAGAGGTAGTGTTCTTAGAATGATACACAATGATAACTGTTGTTTAATTTCTGGTGTCTCCTGCCGTGATATTCCATATTACTAAAATCATTGTAAACCCATACTCACTCACTCTTTCATGTAATTAGCATGGATGGAAGGTCAAGGTCAGCACATGGAAGTGCTAACGCCAAGTGTCATCACTGATTTTCAGTACTCCCCTTATATAACTTTCACCTCTATTTTGCCTTTTACTTTTGAATGCTTAAAACATTATCATTGGGGCACTTAGAGTGAGTGAGTGAGTTTGGTGTGAGCAGAATTTTAGTAACATCACTCTGTGTCGGCTTAATGTGGGAGAAAAGCCCAAAGTGATGCAGGTCTCAAACTTCTACCACTTTATTGAAACCCAAGAGTAAAGGTATGGTGCTGGCACATTATCAGGGTAAAGTGGAATTTAAACCTATCATAAGTTTCTAAGAGATGCAAATGTGCACAGCAAATTGCAATTAGATTAGGTGGAGTAAAAGTAGTTGTGATGCATGTTTTGGAAAGAGATGGCAGAGGTGCCACACACAATCATTTTGGTTGAATCATCATGATATTTTGCAGCAAATTCTACCAATAAAACTATATGAAATATATTACAATTTTGTAATTTTGTAATTTCACCAGAACTTGTGACTATTTACCATGCTTATCCATCGTTTTCATTTACTACTTATTCTGAATACATTTTTTAAATCTAAACATTGTCTTAGAAACTTAGTTCATTGCAAGTTGCTATGACAAGGCCAGGAGTTTGACAAATCTAGCTTTGGGAGTCTGTTTTCAGTTGACAGTGCTTTCCCTACTTATGCCCACAACTTGTTTATTCAAATCGGTTTAGTTTTGTAAGAGTTTTCCAATCTTAACCTATCACTCGTTAATGTACCTGGTTTAATGAATTATGGAAAAGTGGGTTCTATAAAAACTAAGAAGAGTTGCTAAAACATGTGAATATTCAGTTTCTGGACATACTTGTTTTACTGTACTAGAAACTGTCACCTCATATTTTATCAGTGCCTCATTCATTTGCTGCCATTTATAATAATCTACTGCCACATAACAAAAATCAATTAATTATCACTTGTATTAGTTTGTGATGGGAATGTTTACAGATTTGGGGGACCTTGGGTGAAAGAATAAGTCAATCATGCAATCTCAATAAAATCAGATCTTAGTTCGAGTTTCAAACTGGCGACTACGCTTCGAAACATATTTTGACATATACTCGATTAAAAAATTAAAAACTGAACAAAAGAACATTCTGGAATGGCTAATAGATGGTCCAGATTGTATGAATACAGTCATAAAGCCCATAACTGTCGTTCAGAATACCCTGTGTGTGTTTGTTTTTAGGTTGAACAATCAAAAATCACATTCCAACTGTCAATTTCATGATTTGATAAGCAGTGCTCTTATTGGTCAGATGAAAGGTCATTCTGACATGACCTGCAATGGAATGTCCTCAGATCTTTGTTTAACGGTAGGGAGAACTAAGATCTGATTTTAATGAGATTGGTCAATCATGCTAATGGTGATTACTAATTTACTGTTATTTCAGTCCCAAATTATCCTATATATTCCTGATTGCCTGACTTTGGTGTGGATGTCTCTGGAATACATCTGGTTCTGTTTTGCATGTAATATGTACACCTTTTTAGTTGTAGTTTATATTTCTGCCTGTCAGGTTTACTCACTGAAGTTTGACATAAATCGAATGTCATGACATGAAATAACAGGGTTTGTTTTCATTTTTACTAGATCTAAACAAAGTGTTGAAAAAAAGCCCATGTCACAGAAAAAGGAAGAAGAAAGGAATGAACAAAATGCATCCATGAGTGGTACTTCATCTTCGGTGGGTCTTAAAAGTGGATACTCAGGTGGAAGGAAAAATGAATTCCCAGCCTCTAAGCCTATCACAGATTCAGCATCAGTGTCCAGCACAGATTCAAAATCTGGACCTGCACCAAAAGATACAGACAATGAATCGGAAAGAAAGGGTACAGATGATAGGAATGGGGCAGCTGTAGGAAAGAGTGCTGTGGCATGTATGGACTCTACTACACCTGGTGAAGATAGGAGGGAGACAGTTCCAACACCAGATTCTGCAGCAAAAAAAGTCACCACTGGAGGGACAGATCTTGAGTCACCGTGTGGTTCAGACAATAGGGAAAATCAAAATCCATCAACAGATAAAAAGCTTGTTGGGTTTGATGAGACAGGGAAAAGGAAAGATCAGTCGTTAGCTGAACATGGTACTGATAAACACCTGTCTGGGAGCAATGTGAAGAGAATAAAAGTTGAGGATGAAAATGTCGGTTCATCTTTAACACCTGAAGATACTGGCCAAAGAGCAGCTCATGAGTCAATTACTAAAGAGGCTGAAGAACCACTGGTATGTCATATTTTCCCTCTTTATGTTTACCATTGATTGCATGTAGATTTTATAGTCATTTGTCTAGCTATATTTTGAATGTGAAAAATTGTCTTGAGATTTGACTACTCTCAATAACGTTGAACAATAATTGGCGTATTTCCAACAAATGCAATTTGTATGAACATGTGCAGCTAATGAGTAAATTCTGAGAATGTCATGTGTATATGATTGACCAATGGTAGCCTTTGACTGCTTTTTTATGATAACTGGAGCAAATATTGCAGTCGCTAGCTGAACATAGTACTGATAAAAAATGAAAAATCTAAACTTAACATTTGAAACCTCATGCTGCGTTTTTGGTTTCAAATTCAATTTTGTGCAGTTTAATACACCTGTAACCTAGATAACCTAGCTGTACATTGAAAACACAGTATGCTTAGTTCCTAATTGATCCTCGGAGCTATTAATAGATAAATATATATATGTGCACAAGGGTTATCCACTGTATACCAAGGCCCATGGTTTGTCTTTAACATTGCCAAAGTAAGACTTATTTGAAATTTACATGTAAGTATGACTGTGTCTGATCATGTGTGAAGACATCAATAATCATTTACACTGAGAGAAGATGATCTCTCAAAACTTACAGTTGATATTATTATCAAACATTTATGTAATCTGCAATACATATATACAGGAATCATCACAAGGAAATCATATAAAGTGAATTAAAGTAGACTTAAGCATTTTTATTTGAAAATTCCCAATTAAGATGTCATTTTTGTGTGATCATTACAGATTCTGAAGAAAGAAGTACTTGTCTACATTCCTGGAAGTGAAGTGAAAAAGAAATATATCAAAGATGTGTTTGTTGAATTTTCATCAAAAGGTGTTGGAAATTTCTACTTAAGAATGAAGTCTTTGGATGAAAATATGTGGACTAGTCAAAAGGTAGATTTTCATCCAGATGTTGATGAACTTTATTGTGGTATCAAAATACATTATTGCAGTAAATGGATATCAAGTTATATTCATACGGTTGCGTATATTTGGCAGGCAATGGGAACAAGAAACATTTTTCGATGCACTGTAGGCCTATCTGACTATGAAGAAGGATTTTGTGGTCATGTTATTCACATTTTACTGAATATCTCAGAATATGGATTTAAAGATGCTCTCATGCAAATTGAAGATCTTACCAGAAATATTTCTAGAGACCGCAGAGATGTTGATTCAATCTTCAAGATGATGAAAAATTGTTTTGAAAATGAAACACACTGCTTGTCACCTGATGGATTCAGTGCTGTGGGGTATATTTATAGAAAACTCTCTAAAAATCAAGATTACATAAAACATTCAAAATGGGTTACATCAACCATCTGTCAGTCAATTCTGAAAGGTTTTAAAGCAATTTCTGTGAAGGACATTCCAAGCACAATGATATCAGATTTTAGGTGGATTGCAGAAAGTTTGTGTCAAGTTGCATATTCTAAAAGTCAATGCCACTTCTTCACGGTCATGGAATATTGCTTTCCACTGTTTTCACCTAAATATTTCTCTGAGCTGTTAGGGAAATCTCTTTCAACAAATACATTCAAGGTACATGACTTTGAACACATTAGATCAGTTGTCGGAGGAACATACAGTCTTGTGAGCCAGGAGGATGAAGCGGCATATCGTGAGTTTCTTGAGAGATTGCTACATTACTTACCTTTGGAATTTACCTTGGCAGAGGAAGAAAATGTGAGCAAATTCAAAACAGATGTTGAGAATATCATCCATATGAGAGTGAAAAAGGAATGTACTTCTGCAGTGAAGACAAGAAACATTGTGCAAGTGGTTGAGCTCCATGATGTACTTTCAAGATGGAAAAGAATTAAAGGAGATGTTGCCAGATGTATGGAACAGACTGTGGTTTGTATCTGTGAAAACACCCACAAGACTTATACGCTTGACCACCACAAATTACAGACACTTCTTCGTGCTGACAATCTCTTTGTTGATCCTTCCTGTTGTGTAAAAGTCATGGAAATACTGGCAGTGTCAGAAAACAAAATATTACACTCTTTATTTACAGAGATGTTGAAACATGGCTTTTTGGATGTTTGCAGGGAAGACGTCATCTCTGAACTGACTCGGAAATGGTTTGAGAAAGCTATTCAGTTACTCTGTAGTGATGGCCGATATAGTCGACCAATTGATGATTTACCACATGTCTATCAATATCTGGGCTCTGCTTTGTCTGTTGACTGTGTTTTTCACAAGAGGATGCTTGTCCAGAGTTTGAAAGAGAGAGCTTTTAAGTTCTTGAACTCAATAAATGTCAAAACATTAGTTGACAAGTTACTTGAAATTGATTTTGTGGAAGAATCACACTGCCAGAATGTTTTTGCTGAACATTTACAAACATATCTGTTAGAAGGAAAAGAGGCGGATATGATTGGAATAATTCTATCTAAAGCTGGAAATACATCCTGGATTGGATATTCACAAAGCAGAAACTATTCCAAGTAAGTATAAGTTGTTCAGTGGCTATTATATGAGGAGTCTTGAAGAGAAAAATAGCACTACTATTGATTTTTGCCACTGCAGTCATTTCTATTGTCTGACGGTTGTCATGTTTGCAGTGTAAGAAGACAATACTATTTACTCTTCAAAACTACTCTTATAGACAACATGCAATACTACTGTGGACCCGGTGTTCCAGGCTCAACCTTCTCCTGGCCAGTTCATCCCTGGGATTTAGCCCAGGCTATTACGTCCCTGTCCCCCAACCGAACTGGGTAAGGTCAAACCTCCAGGGATGAGATCGCCCAGGCAAAACCTTTCCTGGGGATGAAATTGCCAAGGCCAAACTTTCCCCAAGGAAGGAATGTCCTTGGCCAGCTCCCCCATCCATCAAATTTCAAACTTACCTTGGATGGGGAAGGTTCACTCCTTCCCTTAGTGAAGGTCTGACTACAGTGGACTAGAACTGGCCATGGCTGGAGTCAAGATAAGGCCAGGCTTTTTTTATTTTTAGGATAACAGATTTTTCAGCCCAAAAATTGGCTAGGAAAAAAAAGGGAAATCTCATTTTAATTTTCTCAAAAATTAGAGCTGGCGGTTCCATAATCCGAAAAATATAAAATGCCTGGCCTAAGGGGAAGATCTAGCCTAGGCTAAACGTTGCCCACCTCAGTTCAAGGGGATTAGGTCTGGCCAGGAGTAGGGAAGAAATGGCCCAAGCTATTACTTCCCTGGGGAAGAACTGGACAAGGCCAAACCTTCCCCCTTGAAGAACTGGCCAGGGGGATGTTTCAGGATGTTACACCAGTTAAAATAAGTCCTTTTGACAACTTTTGATGTTATGATTTTTTTGTTTCTGTAGTCGGGCCTACCATATATGTTCTGGTGTTCTTGTTTTTATATATATGAACCTAGCATTTAATTAAGCACCCCCAGACAAAATGAAAACCAGTGATATCCCCTCCATAAAACTTCAAGTTTTCTTGTTCTCGTAGAATGGCTATCAATCTTGAGTATTGTCATGACAATAACTCACTGTGTTGCCCAAACACACAGACATATGACCGTGGAGTATGATAAGTTCAAGATTCAAGAAAAGCACTTTGATATTCATGCAGTTAAAGGTATATGATGTTACAATTATCCGAATAGTCAGCATACGTTACCATGGCATGCAAAAGGCTGTCAGAGGCACTCAGTTGGCAAATTATTGGCATTCATGACACAGGTATGTCATGCAGAGACATTAGACATCAACATGGCTGTGACAATACTGTCATCAGCAAACTCATAAGAAAACACCGACAGATTGAGTAAAGGACTGTCCATGACCAGGGCCACCCCAAAAGACAACTGGACGGGAACACAGGGCTCTAGCACGTCTTGTGAGGCAACAACCCTTTGCTACAAGTAAAGCTCTGAAAGAACAATGGCTTCCCAATAGGCATCAGTCAACCAGAAGTGTCAAAAACTGGCTAAAATCATTTGGATTGAAGTCACATAGGGTCATCAGATATTCCCTTGTTAACTCCACATCATCAGAGACTTTGATTGGTTTGCTGTATGGCTCGATGTCATTGGAATCTTGAGCATTAGGTGATGGATCCATTGGTCTGATGAAAGCAGATGCTTGCTGCACGTCACAGATGGGTGAATGTGTGTTTGAAATACTGAGTACACCCCAAGGAACATTGTACCAACAATTCCATATGGTGTTATGGTGGATGCTCCGTGATGGCGTGAGGAACAATGTCTCATGACTTTAAACTGGACATTGTAACAGTTTGAGATTGTTACATCCAGGACACCCTCAATCCTGTTGTGCCGTATTTTGAAGATCATGCACTTGCCACTTGACCTGTGCTAAGATCAAGTGGCAAGTGCATGATCTTCAAAATAAGGCAAACTTGACCTCATTTTTCATGTGTGACTGAATTTCTTTCTGCAAGGAAATGCCATTGACACTTTGCCTTGGCCTGCTGTGAGTCCATTGGAACATGTTTGGTACATACTTGGATGTGGGCTGCCACCAGCCACCAGCACAGAATGTGGCAGTTTGAGGCTGCATTATATCGGAAGTGGCAGCAGTTACCTCTTGATCGTATCAGAAGACTCACTGGAGGAATGAGGAGAAGGGTACAATCAGTCATCCAGGCACAGGGTGATTACACTCGCTACTGAATTTCAGGATTGTAAGATGACAGAGAACCCTTAATGACAGTAAAGGTTGTTCATACCTGATCATGGAACTTCCCAGATCCATTGTTTTAGTACTATTGCAACTTTGGTGCTAATATTGAACATTTGTATCATTCACTGTGGTTTCATTATTCAAGAGTCTCATCTTACACAAGAAGTTTAATTTTCCACTATAGTTCAGCCTGGACATGAATGATGCCTTCTTTTTGGACAGATTTAGTTGCAAAACCAGTGGGTGTTTAATTAGTTTCTAGATGCATGTTCTTAATTTAACCTTGATACAACCCTTCGATTTGTACCCAGGATGCTCAGGATGTCAATCACTGGATTGTTTGGTCCAGACTCGATTGTTTACAAACCGCCGTCATATTGTTGAGTTAAACAACAAACAAACAACATAATGTAATGAAATTTGGTGTATCGTGACTATGTTGTGCCAGATTCTGCTGTATCGGATCAAATCGTAACAATGTCCTGTGTTGTGTGGGCAGTGTCCTGTGGATCGGGACGCTGTTGTGATGGATGGGCATGAATTGTACAGGGTGGGAGGGGGGGGGAATTGTGATCTTCTCATGACGCTTGTGTATTTGTGTTGTGCCCTTGCTCTATGCTTTTCGACTTACTGAAGTTAAATGAGTGAACGTTTGCATGCTTATCTAAGAAATACTTGTCAAGACAGAGTTTGAGAATTGGTGGCATACATTATTTTTCGTACAGAGTTATGGCCCTTGCTAGATGCTTTTCAACTTGGTGCATAGTGTTGGGGACAAGGTGTCTCAGAAACAACTGAAGTAACATGAATGAAACTTTGCAAGCTTACCTAAGAGATGCTTGTCAGGACTGAATTCGATTAAATAAATATATATATATATGTTTTTAGATTTTGAGCAAACACAGTTTTGACGCTTGATCCATGTTATTTTACTTGGTGCATAGTGTCTGCAATGGGGACAAGTTTTTTTCAGTTACTACTGATAGTTTATTTAGACTGAGTTCGAGAATTGGCGTCATTAATTAAATTTTTTCAAACTTATCGTATCTCACACAATGCATTTCTCTTTCTTCTTTCAGTCCTGAGTGCAAACGTGTCTGAAATAAAGGTTTCTAGTTTTTAAAGTTAATTCATCCATACATACCTCACATCACCATTGTCACATCCCAGCTCTTTGCCTGCTGACCGCCTCCGTGGTCTAGTGGTAGAGCGTCCACCCAGAGAGCGGAAGGTCCGGGGTTCGATCCCCGGCCGCGTCATACCAAAAGACGTTAAAAGATGGTACTTGTTATTACCCTGTCTGGCACTCGGCATTAAGGGACTAAAACAAGGACTGGTCGGCTCAGAGTGATCAGTATACTGTGTCTGAGTGGGGTATTCATGTTAAACTGCGGCATGGTATCTCAGTGAGCTAGCACTATAAATTGGCATTAGTTCGGACTAGTACAAGCAGCCACACAAACACACACACGTACGCTATATAAGTGCATTTATCTTGGACGCGACGTTAAACCCCATTTCACCTCTTTGCCTGCTGGTTGACCTACATGCCCTGATCACATGTCTATCCCAGTCAACTTATTCTCTTTCAAATGGCCAAACACTGGTGACATGTTGTTATTTATAGGGAATCTATTTTTGTTTTTTTCCTTGCCATTGATCTTCATTTTTTATCTTGTTGCCTGCATCGGGTTTGTCGTTCGGCATGCAATTTTTCTCTTCAGTACCAACCAAAGTTTGGCTTACTCCCAGTGCTCAGATTGTCACGGCTTGTGCAGTTATTCAGAGCCCAGCTCGTGATTTCATCACTTGTTGGGCAAAAAAACCTGTTGGGTATATATTTGCTATCATCACAATCTTAGTGAACAAGTGAACAGCAAAAACATGCCACGAAGCAGAAGCCCAACGCAACAATGCCATCAGCTGACTAAAAACAGGAGAATGATCTTCACCTGTAGTGTTTTTTTCACATATCACCAAGCACCATTACAAGACAGTGGAACCGTTATCAAACACACGGTACAACACTTTACCTTCCCAGATCCAGTCGACCTCATATCACAGGACAGATTAATATGGCTATGTCAGTTTCGATCACCTCTACAACTACGGCAATACCAGGACTGCATGGGACATAGAATTGCCAAGACAGTGAGGAACTGCTAGACAGTGCAAAGTGTGATTTAGAAGGACCTGCATCGTCAGCTTCATCGTCAAGGTCACAGAGTATGGCCACAACTGCGATGGAGATAAGTTTGGTTTGGTGATGAGTCAGGTTTTATAGGCATCGTGGGAAACATTATGTATACAGGAAGTGGACAGATTTGTTGGTTGTTGTGTGATGATGTGGGCAGCCATCTGCAAAACTGGTAGAACAGTCTTGATGCAAGTTCTTGGGAATTTAACGGCACACCATTACATGAATGAGATTCTTCGGCCACACATCCTCCCCATAATGCAACAAATGAACATAATTTTCGAACAAGTCACACCCTACCTCACACAGCAAGACAACAGCCTGTTTGACATTTACATTTTACATAGGTTTGCTGTTTGGAAAGGAATAGCTGTGTGTTTATTTGGTGTTTATTGTGCCGATCGACAATTAGGGTTGCAAACTCGGGAGAAGAGAATCTCGGTAGGCTTCAACCTTGGGCCCTACTTTCCCTCACTACAACCTGTATCATGTTTTATCCTATTCAAATATAATTGGTGCTGTGCAGATTGCCAAGTTCCAAGGATATGTTTGAACTTCCATTTTCCTTCTATTGTTTGTCAAATGAACATAACACACTGGCGCTATCAAAGCAC